GGGATTTTTTTAATATATATATATATATATATATATATTATTTTTAATCACCATTTCACCTTGACTAGTTCAATTTTAAATAGTCTTGAGGTGTGATACTGTAAATACATTTTATATTATTTTTACTAATACTATTATTTTTACTAATTTGTTTGATTAATTATTTAGTCTCTCAATTAACATGATCATAAGACATAATAAGATTTCATGTCACCTGTATGGCGCTCTAGTTTTAGCGCCATACACATTTATTGCAATATATGAGTTGAACAAAGTTAACAAGACAATAACGCATATACGTTTTTTTTTTGTTGTTTTTTTTTTAATTGCAACGTTAAAGCAGGCTCTAAGTGACCCTATAATTTAAGCAGGGTTGGCAGGTCCACAGTTTTTCTCAACAGTAAACATTATTTGTATCTATAGCTTGTTCTGATAAGAAACAAAGTCTCAGCTTTCAAATTCTGTCCATTTTATAAAAACTATTGATGTTTGATCTCTCAAATGTGACGTGACAGATCATTGTAGCTTCTGAGTTCAAGCAGTTAGTTAGGAGATATTTTTTTCAGATTTGTTAAGAAAATGATACTATCAGTATCAGCATTCTGAATAATCGGTATTGGTATCGGTGGAGGAATTTAGTATCGGTGCATCTCCAAAATATACATTTGGTAGAACCGCTAATGTATCTAAGATGTGTGCAGAATAAGGGCATATATATATATATAGTCTTTTACAAGTCTTTTGCCGTATCTTATTGTGGTAGTGAGTCTGCCTGTTTACAGCAAAGAGTTTTTGCTTTTGGCTTAAGGACAGACATAACTACAGTATAAGCGAGAGGGAGAACTGCGTCATATGTTGTGAAGGCTGAAAATCTGATTAACCTACTTTACGGGAAAAAGTGAAATATTTGGGGTTTGCTGCCCGATTTCACAGAAAGGACAACAGTTGATCCTACAAAGAAGTTGGTACGTGACTCACTCAATTGTAAGCAAAGCAATGTGACTATGTAACACTTTTAACAGCATGTCGGAGTATTGTGACAAACAAGTAATGTAGTAAAGTTGTTTAGTGGGGGAATCTGATGCAACCTGTCATGAACATCAACATCGACAACTTGTATTTTGCTTTAATAAAGCTTATTTTAATTTTTTTTTTGCATTGTGATATTATGGAACATTTTCCTCTGTCATTCACATTACTATAGTGCAATAAAATGTCATTCTCATTACAAAAAAAAAAAAAGATTTATTATTATTCATAGATCCATGTATTATTTGTTGTACTGCCTTTAATTGCTCATTTAAAATAAATTATTGTATAATTGTTTTTTATTCATTTCTGTATTACAATATTGAGCATTAAAGAGAATTGCACAAAACTGATGGTAATGAGAATTTGCTTATTTTCATGAAAATAATGTCACAATGGGCTTAATTCAAAATATCATTTTCTTAAAGCATTTCTTTTGATTTTGGAGTGAATTGTGACAAGGACATGTTGAGATTCGCACTATGATTAGCTTTTAGTGAGGTTTACTGTAATTGATAGATATATAGTAAAAGGGCGAGAGAGCGAGAGAGGAATAAAATCACCACTTATTACCTTCATGTAAGCCATAAACCATAATGCATTATGCACAGCTTCTATACAACGATTCACAGTTGCTATGGAGATTTTCATCAATTCTTCAGGAATAGCAGAATTGGCTATTTTCTGGCAGCAGGAAGAGGGAGGCAGTCTATTTTTTGCTTTTTGTTGATGCTTTTGGGATTGATAAAAGTATGTGTTTTTTTCATACTGCTAATCTCTATTTACAATAAACAAGGCAGAGCAGTGCAAAGCTCTGAGAGCGATAAGAGGAGAGGATTTAGCGCCAAGCGAGTAAATTCGGTTCATTTAAATTCTTTTTACTTTAAATTTCACTTTAAAATGTACACATACATATCCAGCATAGCATCAAATCTATTTCTTGTGGCAGCTCTCAAAGCTTGTGTCTGAAAGGTTCCCAAAGTTTGGTGCTTCTGGTCCTGTTTTGTTTGTGGAACATTTCCTTTCCTTTATTAAGGCAAACTTTTGTTTTTTACTCGCCACTTCACAGACCTTTGGGTGTGATGTGAATATCAAGTGGCTCTTGAGTTTAAACTGATGCTGAGGCATTTAAGCTCATGTTATATGAGGCTGAAATCAGTAGTTTTTATAGTGAACTCATTTTCATCCTCCAGTGAAACAGAAACGGTAAGAAAGTTGTGTATTCTGTAAACAGAACACTTTGAAATCTGTGAAACAGCAACTTCTCAAGTGTTAGTAAAAGTACAGATGTCAGTGAGGGTAATGGTTAACTGGCTGAAAAAAGATTCAAGTGGAAAACTGAGAACTATTAGAGTTTGATTTAAAATGCATGCACATGCATATGTAAGAACACACATCTGATGATATCATTGTAACACAAACATTACACCTTCACCTTTAAAATTAACTCAGTTGTATTTCTGTCCCCATGATGGATTCTTGGATTTCTCTAAGATGACTTTTGAATTCACTGTCCCACTCACCATGCATACAGAGATCATAGATCAATGTCACACATGCAGTTTTCTTGATTCATAGTTCGTATTAAAGCAGCAAGGGGTACTGAACACAAGGGCTATTTGCAATAAAATGATAGTAATGTGATAGGAACCGTCTGACCTTAAAGGGATACTCCACTTTTTTTTGGAAATAGGCTCATTTTACAACTCCCCCAGAGTTAAACAGTTGAGTTTTACCGTTTTCGAATCGATTCAGCGGATTTTTTTGATATTTAGAAGAATATCAGTAACCAGACAGTTTCTGGTCTCATTGACTTCCATATTAGGAAAAAAATATACTATGGAAGTCAATGAGACCAGAAACTGTCTGTTTACTGATATTCTTCTAAATATCAGAAAATCGGCTGAATACATCTGAAAACGGCAAAACTCAACTGTTTAACTCTGGGGGAGTTGTAAAATGAGCTTATTTCCAAAAAAAAAAAAACAAAAAAAAATGGAGTTTCCCTTTAATATTACATTCTGTTGGCTAGCTGGGTTTCTATCATCATCTACACTTTTACAACATTTGCATATCATTAGATTTGACATAAACACCTGAAGAACAGCCGTATCGCAGGGCATTTTTCCTGGGAAAATTAAAAATATATGATCTTTACATGCGCTCCTGAGTGCCTCTCTTCCGTTCTATGACACATAAAATAAATGCTTATACAATGTTCAGGATAATGGCGAAAGAACTATTCTGTAATGTGAATGTGTCCTGCAAAGAAAAGGGTTTAATTCAAACTATAGTCTCACATGGCCAGATGGCTCCCACGGGTCCTTGAAATCATTGAAATTTTGTGAATCTGAATTTTTTTTTTTCAAGGCCCTGGAAAAAAAAAAAAAAACATGCATAGAAACAGGTCCTTGAAAGTGAATTAATTTATTTTGTGCAAGAAGTTTTCTGGAAAAAATTCCATATTATTCCCTCCGGTCTGCTAATGTGTTATTTCACCAACTGTTCGTGGCCTATGCAGACTAGCTTGCTTGATTTACATTAGTTACGCGCATTTACACGTTACGTCAAGTGTTTCCGTTGCCATGACGTTCATGCACGCACAAAACTACTACGATGGTACCTCAACGTTTGTTGTTGGACACAACAAATGTAAATTTGAGGGTACTGGACCTGGAATGTCCTTGAATTTGGTGTGGGGAAAGGTGTGGGAACCCTGTATATAGTTGTCCATACTGCACAAAAATAACCAAAGTCCAAGCCTGAAAACAGTAAAATGGACCCAAAATTATTCTTATGATGTCTTAATAGAGTCATGCTTAGTGCAACAGACCTGTTTTTGTCAGCTGTATTCATTGATATTGCCCCTGCTGGGGTGGAAAATGGTCTGTTGAATGTTGATCCAGGCTGGAGGCAGGTTAAAGGAGTAGTTCACTATTTAAAAAAAAAACTTTTTCTGATAATTTACTCACCCCCATGTCATCCAAGATGTCCATGTCTTTCTTTCTTGAGTCGAAAAAAAAAAATTAAGGTTTTTGATGAAAACATTCCAGGATTTTTCTTCATAGAATGGACTTCAGTGGGAACTAAATGATTTAAGGTCAAAATGAGTGTTTCATTGCAGCTTCAAAGGGCTTTAAATGACACCAGACGATGAATAAGGGTCTTATCAAGCGAAACGATCGGTTATTTCAAAAATAAATAACACAGTTTAAGTTTTATAAGCTCAAATGGTCACCTTGCTTTGTTCTGTGATGCGCGTTTGTGCCTGTTTGAACTCGTTCATCAAAATGAACAAATCTTGTTTCGAGTCAATTCGTTCATTTCGTTTATTGAATTAACCAAATGTCTCGAAAAAAAGGCTCGTTCGTTTTGATGAACGAGTTCGAACAGGAGAGTCATGAACGCACATCACAGAACAGAGCAAGGCGAGCATTTGAGCTTATACAACTTACACTTTGTTATTTAGTTTTGAAATGAGCGATCGTTTCGCTTGATAAGACCCTTATTCATCGTCTGGTGTCGTTTAAAGCCCTTTAAAAGCTGCAATGAAACTCTCATTTGGACCTTGAACCGTTTGGTCCCAGTTAAGTCCATTATATGTAAAAAAAATCCTGGAATATTTTCATCAAAAACCTTAATTTCTTTTCGACTGAAGAAAGAAAGACATGGACATCTTGGATGACATGGAGGTGAGTAAATTATCAGCAAAAGGTTTTTTTAAGTGAACTACTCCTTTAATGTTGGTCTGCTAGGGTGGATTTGCTGTTCACCAACAAAACTAACCTGATGAAGCTGTTTGGCCGAAAACATCTTGCTGGTTCAACTTGTTATATGCCTTGTGGGGACATCAGCATATCAGCCATCAAAACACAATAAGTACTGGTCAGGCTGGTTCAATAACAAAGCAATGGTATATAAGAGGAAATTAGATGCACACAACCAAACTGTTATATTTTGTCTATTCCCAGGCTGTGTATCATGTACAGTCAGTGATCTCTGAGATGGCCGTATGGGCCAGACGGGCCAGAGTTTCCCCCCTGCAGCGCTGCCACCACCTCCTCCAGTGCATCTGATCCGCCCAGCCCCGCTAACACCCACCCTGGGCTTCCCTCTCATCGGGCCACCTGGCTTCACTCCGGGCCCATCATGGGAGGATGCCTTTCCAAACCCAAACCAGGTGATGAGCATATAGAAAACCCTCAGTCTGTTGATTAAATCCTGTAATAATTGAGACTTGTGTCTCCACCTATATATAGGTCAGCTAACGTGACCCCTGACTGCTGTTGTGATGTGGCTTTCCTTTAGTGCAGGAGGAATTTTAATGCTCTTAATTGCTGTGTTCAAGAGGATTAGACAGTGGAATATGAGTTGTGTTTCGAACGTTTCACAATGTATCGCCGTTTCTCTTCTATGGCGACTGGGGGAGGGGGTACTACCCAGGGGCACCGAAACGACTTTCATCTGTCCAAAGACTCAGTTGTGAAAGTGTGATTGTGGGCGTTGGATTTCAGAGGGTGCAGAGAGAGGCCGAACGGTCCAAGCCAGTCAGTCACTGTGCTTGGACATAATATGGCTTTCAATTCTGTTGTAAGCATTCAGTTGGTCAGAGCACCAGGATCACGAGGAAGTTGATTTACTCAATGATTTCATCACAAGCAGGTTAATCTATTAAGGTTCCTTTCATCTCAGATAGTGAATGTGGGTCATTCTCAAGAAATGGGAAAAGATTTTTTCAGCAAAGATGCATTAAATTGATCAAAAGTGACAATTAAGACATTTAAAGGTGCAGTGTGTATTTTTTAGCGACATCTAGCGTTTCGGTTGCGAGTTGCACTAAGGGCTCAGCCCACTGCTCACCCCTCCCTTTCAAAGAAGCTACGGTGGCTAAAACGGGACAAATAGACGGTTTCATCAGACGCGTTGCCATGGTGATGAGCTGGCCCAAAGTTAACTTCCGTTCTGTTCGTTTATTAGTGTTTACTGGATAATATGGCATTGACTACAAATGCAGTGAAATTTAAGGTGATGAGCAGGTTATTGAGCTGTGGGGTGCAACCTGACCTAGGGAGCAAACGCAATTTTTAAAAATAAAAATGTCAAGGTTTCCTATGAGGGAGACGGCGGTATTAAAATAGCCTATGTTTATCTGAGTGATAACCGGTACAGTGTTTCCCATACATTTATTAGTGGCAGCCCACCACATTATCAGCGCTGACCGCCACATATTGATTTCCGTGTTTTTAACAATTTAAGATGGGAAAAGTTGTAATTGACTAACTTACAGAGTTGCGTGCAGCGCATATTCGCTCGCTCTCACTCTTTCTCTCTCTCTCTCTCGCAAACACATTGACAGCGGACCAGTCTGTGTATTGAATGGTTAGTATTATAAACAGCGCTGCACAGATCCATCCAACATGCTGTCAATGTGAGACCCACCTTAAAAAAAGGTTAGCAAGCATGTAAGTAGCCTAGCTATGTTAACCTTATCAAACTCCGCCGTCGCGCTCGCCACAGTTTTTTTAACACTGCGGTAAATCAGACACGTCGGTAGAAAAACATCTTCTCCAATTTTTGTTCAACGGGTCTGGTAGTGTCACATTTCAGTTTGGCCAGGTAACATTTATTTTCTTTGACTGGCAAGATACCAGCTACTAGGTTATTTACTTGTTATGGATTGTCTCCGCAAGTCTGCCGGAAGTTAAGTTTGGGCCAGATTAATGCACATGCGCAGTACCGTTTGTTTATGTTGTCACTGCTGAAAGCGTCTATATCTAACATAAGGGATAAACAAATTAGAGCTTCTGAGTCAGTAGCCACTTTCAAGAAACTGCTGAAGACGTATCTTTTTCGGCACTATCGGCAGCACTTGATTCAGTAGTACTAACACTTTCTCTTCTCTTCTATTCTATTTAAAGGGTAACTAAACCCCTGGTCAAAGCCTGACTCCACCCACTGGCAATATTTGAAAATGCTGAAAAAGTGGGTAGACCTCAGTGGAGATATAGATGCTAAAAAAAATAGATGTAATAAATAGATGCTAAAATACTCTATCCTGATCGTTTTCAATACGCACAATTCCAACTCCTGACTCCCTACAGTGGTTTTGATGACACAAGATGGTTTTTATATTGCCAAGGGCGTAGCTTGCGTGGTGAGCTGAAACCTGCGAACGTCACGAAGTGCGGAACATCCAATAGGAAAATTCAACTGAAGTAGCCACCGTTCAACCTGAAGAGGGCAGCACTAAGATGCTTTTACACCATATATTGTAGAAATAGAACACTTTATAAACAAATGTCAAAAAAGTTACTTGAATCAATGACTGGTATTAATAAAGATCCATTCTTACCGATCATTAACTAAAAAAAGTTGGTTTAGTGTTTAGTTACTCTTTAAAAAAAAAAAACTGCACTAAAATTAAACTGAGAGGGGTTATAGCACTTACGTATTGTTGTCCTACTGTTAGTTTAACTGCCTCTATTGTTCTCAATTGTAAGTCGCTTTGGATAAAAGCGTCTGCTAAATGAATAAATGTAAATGTAATGTAAATATCGTCGTCTGAGACAGCAGATATTAGCCAGAGTAAGCCAAGAGTGTGTAACATTGTCACTGTTTCTGCACCACAGTCCATTATAAACTACATCATGGATAAAGTTTACAAAGCCATAGTCAGGTGAGGATCAAGGGTCTTAATATATAATATAATTATAGTAATCAGCTGATTGTCTCACAAACGTAACCCACACATTTCTCCCCACATAGCAAACCCATAATACAAAATTTTAAAAAACAGGGTGGTGATGGTGCAGTGGATAAGACACATGCCTTTGGTGTGAGAGACCCGGGTTCGAATCCACTGTGAGACACCAATGCGTCCCTGAGCAAGACACTTAACCCCTAGTTGCTCCAGAGCCGTGCGACCTCTGACATATATAGCAAATGTAAGTACTTTTGGATAAAAGCGTCAGCTAAATGAATAAATGTAAAAGTTTAACAGGCTATAATATGAGCTGTTACTGTGGCTGAGCTGGTTAAACCGTAAAGCCTTGTTTAAACTTGACGCGTATTCCGCATGAGCCCAAAGGTGCGCGCGGCAAAAATGACATGATTGTAACAGCGCACGCCTCTGCATCCCCTAGACACCATTTACTACAGGAATTATAATAGGCTTTCTTCTCTGATTTTGAAAACTCTTCGCGATCGACTTAAAAAGCTTCTAAGATCGACTTGTCGACCGCGATCAACGGGTTGGTGATTCCTGTACCATTACTGTTTTACGGTCAATGACAAGAGTATTAATCAGCCATCTCACGAACGTAACCAGCACATTTATCCCCACATAGCAAAGCCATAACACAGCAAGGGAGAAGAACTAAATTACATGAACCGTCCAACTACATATTTTACACCACTGACAAGGAAAAAAGTCACTACTGCGGTGTTTATGGCTAGCTTCCAGCTTTCTGCTGTTTCTCTTTCAAGGTAGTGACGAAACGCGCGCTGTTTGTTCGCTGTCGACTACATGACGTCACAATATGTCAACCTTCATAGAAGGGGGTGCCCGCGGTTATGTAGATATAAATCTCTCCTTCTAAGGTAATAAAAACATTACAGTTTATTAAGCAAGTTCTTTAAACACCACTGAAAACATAGTTAATGGATGTCATATTGCATTTCTGTTAGATACTCAATTTTTACACATTGCACCTTTAAATTTACAAAAGATTTTTATTTCAAATGAATGCTGCTCTTTCTATTCATTAAAGAATCCTGAAAAGAGCATAAGAGTAGTTCAAACGAAATCTTGTGCGGTTTCTAATTTTTATAAGCTCTTCATGATTTTGGTCAAAATACCATCATATGTAGGTACGCACATACAACGAGCACATTTATCCCAGCACACAGCTTTGTTTTGGATGTTCGGTAAGTTCCATCATGAATTATAAGTTATAAAAACTGACCAATCAGGTTGTGAACATTCCTTTAGGTTCGGTGTTGAAAAGCGAGGAGTGTGAACACACCCTTAAAATGTATGCACTATACATACCAAGACTTCTTTTAAAAATTGTCAAATGCAGTTGAAAAGAAGGCGAGAGAAATTCTGGATTTTTTTGAGGAAAACTTAAAGAAAAAAATACTTTAATTGAGATAAAAGCAAGTTAAGAATTATCATTATTATTTTTAAGAAAATTAAAATGTAAATAAATGGGGAAATATTGACGAATATTTTAATGAAAAAAAAGATTATATTTATTATTGATAGTATTTATTAAATGTATTTTTCCTCTATTAATCACTAAATATAATCCACCAAATAACATGACTATGTTTCTGTATCCTGTTACATTTTATCAGTGGTAAGTCATAAATGGTACCGTGTTTTAAGAATTATGTAATCAGTATTTCAAACTGCTCCATAAAAAAGACATTTGTTAACTTTGAAGAAGTATGATGTTGACTCCAAATCCAAATTAATGAAAACCTTTCAACCCGTTTTGTTGAGCGGTCACTGAAATTAAAATGATCAAATGTCAAGTGGGAATGGGAACATAATATTAGAGCACTGGATCTATTGCTCAATTGAAGCCCACAGCCAAAACAACCAAAATGTAGGCTACACACCTTACACATATACATGTCATTTATGCCCATAGATAGTTTCTTTCTTGTAGGCTTAATTTAGGGTAATGAGATTTTGAGTGCGGTTTCTTCCATTAAATGAGCCCTTAGGGGAGTATGTTCTCTAAATGATCTGTCAGATGTTATTTTCTCTGTTCTGACACTGAAAACAAAGCGTCTGGAGCCAGCTCTGTGATGGCGAGTTTTCTTTCCTTTCCTCTGCCGGCTCAGTCATCTTGCATGATTTTCCATTGATTTTAATTAAGCTTCACTCAGCAGGTGTGAATTCCTGTGTGATTAAGGCATAAGAAGCAGGTCCTCAGCACATTTTTCCAGCTAGAGAGAAAGCCAGCAAGATCGAACTGTAATGGAAGCACATTGCACAATCGCCTTCGATAAAGACTATACATTAAATAGTCCTTCACTTTCCAGTGTTCTTCTCCAGCTTATTATGCTATTTCTACAGAAATAAAGACTGTAGTTATACACTTAGAAAAAAAAATAAGGTTCTTTATTGGCATTTATGGTTCCATGAAGAACCTTTAACATCAATGGAACCTTTCTAAAGGTTTTTTAGATTATTATTATTATGTTCTTCACACTAAGGCACTGAAATGTTCTTTGGGAACCGGAAATAATTCTTCAATGACATTGCTGTGAAGACCCTTTATTTGAAGTGTATATTAGGTTCAATTTCACTTGAATTTGCTCTGAAACATCAAATGTCTGTCTGAAGCTAGTTTCTTAATGAGGTACCTACATATTAAAAATACTATCTGTTTTGTCATTGCACATAATTTGCCTTGGGAGTTCAATATGGCAACATACACTCTTAGAAGAAATGGTTCTATTTAGAACCAGAAATGGTTCCATCCCCCGCTTCATATATGGAACTCCAAAATGGTTCTATATAACCTTTTTTGGTAACCTTTCTATTGGCCAAGTATGGAACCCCAGGGTTCTATATAGAACCCAGAGGAACCCTTTTTAAGAGTGTGAACCTTTTAGGGGTTCCAAATATGTAGCGCTGATAGAACCTTTTAAGGTTCTATATAGAACCTTTTCTTCTAAGAGTGTATAAATCCCAATGCATTGTTGTTTATTGCTTCAATTAAAGTTCAATTTGTATTAAACAAATTGACCTGTTATCTCTATGATGTACTTATATCATGCAATTTTGTTGCAGTAGAGGTCAAAGTTGAGCTCAATCTTTTGGACAAAGAGAAGGAGGTGGACCTGATGTCTCCTAATGGAAAAGCCAGTCCATTTTCAGAATGCAGACCCAACGGATCTCTGGGACACTGTTCGGACGAGGACAGCATGACGTTGCGGCCGCAGCGTAAACACAGAGATTTCATAGAGGCGTCTGTCTGCCACATAAAAGACCTTGAGAATGGACAGTAAGTTTTTTATTTATTGCTCCTATTGGGGTTTTTAAAAAGTCTTTGTTACAAAGTTATAAGCCATGAACCAAGTTCAATTTAGATTTGAGACTTCCTTAGATTTCGAGACTTCCTTAGATTTCCACGACGCATGCGCGAGAATTGCGATCTGAAGTGGTGTAAGCTGATGTGAGCAGATCGCAAATCTCGCGCATGCGTCGTGGAAATCTAAGGAAGTCTCGTTCTGGCCTACAAGGAAGAAAAGAAATAGTCGAATAAACTCGTTATTTTTGTTTGTTTTTTCGCACAAAAAGTATTCGCGTCGCTTGATAAACATATAGTTGAGCCACGGTAGTCACTTGGGATATTTAAACATTTTCTTCATTGACTTTCTGGGCCGTCAAGAGGCAGTCCCTTAGGAGCCAATGTGGTAGTTATACAGCTCTCAAATTTAATCAAAAATATCTTCATTTGTGTTCCGAAGACGAACGAAGGTCTTACGGGGTTGGTACAGCATGGGGGTGAGTAATTAATGACTTAATTTTCATTTTTGGGTGAACTAACCCTTTAAGTCATTAATTACTCACCCCCATGCTGTACCAACCCCGTAAGACCTTCATTCGTCTTCGGAACACAAATGAAGAAATTTTTGATTAAATTTAAGAGGTGGATCACTGCTATAAGCTGCCTAAGGGATCGAAACTTGACGGCCCAGAAACATAATGAAGAAGATGTTTAAATATTCCATGTGACTACAGAGGCTCAAGTATAAGTTTATCAAGCGACGAGAATAGTTTTTTTCCGAAAAAACAAACAAAAATAACGACTTTATTCGACTATTCCTTTTCTTCCTTGTAGGCCTGAGACGAAAGTTCAAGAGATTTCCACGACGCATGCGCGAGAACTGCGATCTTCTTCAACTACTTCAGTTCAGTTCTCGCGCATGCGTCATGGAAATCTCTTGAACTCTTGTCTCAGGCCCACAAGGAAGAATAAAGTCGTTATTTTTGTTTGCAACCTTTGAATGCATCAATATTGGGTTGTGTTTTGGACGTTAGAGCTGTGCTGATCGTATGTGTTCTGTTGTGTTTGGCAGAATGCGTGAGGTGGATTTGGGGGCAGGTCGTGCTCTGCTCATTAAGGAACACGGAGAATTCTTTGCAATGGGACACAAGTGCCCACATTATGGGGCTCCACTGGTCAAAGGTGAGCGGCATCCTGTGGAGCTCTCCTGGTCCTCTACATTCCAGAGCTAAGGATGCTAATGGCTCTCAGAGATCAACTATTTGAACTGAATGTTTTCTATTTACTTATATATTTAGCTGTATGCCTTTTCAAATAGCAAAACAGATTGTTATTTCAGTATTACTGTGTATTAAAAAACTATTCTTCTCTATTAGGCGTGCTATCAAAAGGACATGTACGATGTCCATGGCATGGGGCATGTTTTAACATTGCTACGGGTGATATTGAGGACTTTCCTGGACTAGACAGTTTGCCTACCTTCCAGGTAACAAAAATATATACTTTGTATATTTACTTATATATATATATATATATATATATATATATATACACGTTGCAAATTCATTTTGTATTGGATTACGTTTTTAATTTGTGATTTTAGTGTATTTGCAGTTTGGAATTTTTATCCTATATTTAAATAACAAAATGAACTTATTGATAAATTGTTTAATTCAATTCAAGTTTATCTGGAGTATTCTGTTTTCAGTCAGAGATGAGTGAGTCTAAGTGATTCCCATATGGAAGTAATATACAACTATAACATGATATAAGAATCATGACTTTTGAGTGAAAGTTAAACATCAAAGTTAAAAGTTAAACGTTGATGCACAAATAGTGAACGAAATCTATTGATGGAAAAAAAAAAAGCATATTCCCAAAAAGACTTGTACATGGTACATAGCCTACTGCTGATCAGAAGAGAGAAAATGAACCTCAGTATGTGTCATCACTAAACAGAGGGGGTGTTTTCATAATCCCACTGTTATGTAATTATCTGCCATGTCGATTTTCTTTTCTCATTATTCCAGGTCAGAGTCGAAAAGGAGAAGGTGATAATAAGAGCAAACAAGCAGGTAAAGAGTCTCTCTGTGTCTGGAGTATGTGTGTAAAGAGAGTTAAATTTAACAACAGTTGTAAATGGTAATGTGTGGGAAATCATCTGTTTCCTGACAGGCCCTTCAGACTCAGCGGCGGTCAAAGGCCATGTCAAAATGTTCAGCGGTCATCAATTCCAGCACTGGATTCAGCCACGTTCTCATTATTGGATCAGGTTGCAGCCATAATGTTATAAAATGCACTTAACATGGGGGCAAATTCACTAGATAGTGTTGTTCTAGAAAGGAATCAATCTTAGTGCATATTCATTAAAAGGATGCATGTTTACCATAATCAATTACTCAGAGATTAAGTACTATAGCGCAAAACTAGACTTAACTGCTTTTAAACCTGGGTAAAGGGACATTTAACACTTGTTACCTGGGTTTGTGAAACCCTTAGCATGACATGCACTCTCAGAAAAAAAGGTACAAAAGCCGTCACTGGGGCTGTACCTTTTCAAAAGGGAAAACTTTTGTCCATTTTAGGAACTAATATGTATATTTTAGGTGCTAATATGGACATTTAGGTGCTAATATGTACATTTTAGGTGCTATTATGTACATTTTAGGAGCTAATATGGACATTTTAGGTGCTGTTATGTACATTTCAGGTGCTAGTATGTACATTTTAGGTGCTATTATGTATATTTCAGGTGCTAATATGTACATTTTAGGTGTTAATATGGACATTTAGGTGCTATTATGTATACATTTTAGGTGCTATTATGTACATTTTAGGTACCAATATGCACCCTTTAGGCACTTTTGAAAAGGTACAGCCCCAGTGACGGCTTTTGTACCTTTTTCTCTGAGAGTGTGACATGACAAAAGAAAAGACTCATACTGCCATTCCTTTACATATAATTTCCTGATTTCATTTGTATTTCTTAAACATGTTTTATGGCAGATAAAGAGCTGAATTTCTACATTTGTTACAGACTAAACTGTCCAAAGTTTGCATTCCATCTTTAAACATTATACAATGCAATTACTGATTGCTAAGTTAAAATAAAGATAAAATGTAAGAGATAACATCCAAAGCATCGGCTAAAATCATGCATTTATATTTAGATTAGAGTTCAAGATAAAGACAGCCACTCGTCTTTCACACACACAAAAAGTCAGCTCAATAAACTACACATACATCACCACATGTGGCATGTTAATGTCAGTTTTTAATATTGAACTTACTGGCAAAACCGATAATAGGAAAGCAAATGGTCTTACCTCTGTTGATGTTCTCACTCAGGTCCTGCTGCTCTGGTGTGCGCTGAGACTCTGAGGCAGGAGGGCTTCACTGACCGTATAGTGATGTGCACCATGGACAAACATCTGCCTTACGACAGGCCTAAACTGAGTAAGGTTTGTACACAGAACAGTCCATAGAACAGAGTGAGATTTAAGATTTACAATCCAAAATTAACATCAAACTGTTTTTCCAATATATTTTTTTTTCTCTTGACCTCAAGTATGCTAAAATGCAGCAGGCATAATAATATTGATTTGATGCTTTCCTCTTCAGTCTTTAGAGAGCACAGCTGAGCATCTGCAGTTGCGATCCTCTGACTTCTTTCAAGTGCACGACATAGAGATCCTTTTAGAGAAAGAGGTGAGACCCTTTTGCCTGAAATTTACTAAGGTTTACTCCGTTTAATGAGGAAAACCCAGACAACTTCTGGCAAATTTAGATTTGCTCTAAAAGTTAGTCTTGCAAAGAGCTCATTCAAGCCCATTTCCAATCCGTAGAAATCGCGGCACCGATCAGAAACGTTGGGGCGGGCTTTACACGATGACGACAGCACTGGGATTTTGAAGCATATTTTGTAGCCTACATTACAAAGATGGATGCGGCCGTCGTTTGAATCAGCTATCACGTCTGTTTTAAGCGTTTTGAACGTTTCCTTTTTGTTAAAAACCGAGCAAAGAACAACACTCGGAGATGTTTCTCCGCCGCTCTGCATACGTCATCTCCTCCATCATTCTGATTGGTTTTAGGTCTACCCGCGACATCCGTTGGTGACGCCCCTCTGGAAATGATTCGTCTCAGTTAACATAACTAAGTTACAACTGAGAACGGTCTGGTTTTAACCAGACTAAGGAAAAATAGCCTCATTGGAAAAAAAAAAAAAATGTACCTATGCAGTTTCTGTCCAGTAAGTGGCGCTGAAAACTGAAACAGATGAACGGGAATCTGGCAACGTTTTATTACATTGGTTGTTGTACGTATCGCGGTGGTTCGGAAATGAAATGTCTGGTGAGTGGCGCTAAAAGTGTTAACAAAAGCAAACGTGAGATAACCATGCGATTTCAACTTGCTTCTACAATCTTGTAGAAGTGTTTGTAGCTACAAGGATCTGCACTTAAAATAAGCCTTTTGTAATCGTTAATCTGCCCCTTTCATAATTTGTTAGAAAAGGAATAAAGGTTGTTGGTGTTTTACTGCCTCTAGCATTCTTTTCAGCTGGAAACGGCAGTGAATATTATAGCCATATTTGTCGAGTTTTGCAAAAATTTTCGTTGAGCTTATGGTGGGGGAAAAAAGACAAATATGATTTTAATCTCTTTCAGCACATTTCAAAAAAGTACTGCGGTGGGACAATGGTACAGTGATGGTATCAGATGGTAAAACTATAGGTATTTTGAAATACTTCATTGGGACACTCTTAAAAGTAAGGTTCGTTATTGGCATTTATGGGTCTATGGAGAACCTTGAAGATCCATGGAACCTTTCCATTGTACAAAAGCTTCTTTATAGTAGAGCAAAGTGCTTTAGATTTTTTACATTTCCTTCAAACATGGTTCTTTCAATAACTTCTTTGGAGAACCCAAAAGATTTTTTCAATGGCATTGCTGAGAAAACCCGCTCCTGGTATCTTTATTTCTATGAGTGTACCTCCAAGAATACCCTTTGGTACCATTTTATTGGTGATATGACCCAGTATCTCAATAATTGAGTCTAAATACGTGTCATTTTTTACAAATGTATATGCAGAATTACATAAACTGCCATGTTTCTTCATAGGTTGTTTCTGTGGATGTAAAGACACGGACTGTGATATTTCGGGATGGTTTTAAAATGGAGTATCGAAAACTCTTCATTGCCACTGGGAGCAGGTAAAGGCCACACATGATTATCTATTGATCCTGTGAGTATTAAAATAAAGTGTTGAATTAATAAGTTTCATCTTTATAGACCCAAACCTCTGAGCTACAAAGGCAAAGACGTGGGAAATGTGTTTCACCTCAGAACACCTGAGGATGCAAACGGCATTGCTACACTCGCCAGCAGTAAGAATGCCGTCATTGTGGGAACCTCGTTTATTGGTAAGAGCTTATGGTAAATTTACATAAAGTTTTTTAGTCTCTGTTTAGTTGAATACATTCATGTCTCTAGTCATTTGCACTTGCCACATTTATTGTGTTGAGCTATACAGTGGCTCCAGAAAGCATGTAGACACTTAGTGTTAGTTCACCCAAAAATGAAAATTCAGTCATCATTTACTCACCCTCATGTCGTTCCAAAACCCGTACGACTTTTGTTCATCTTCGAAACAAAGAACACGAGAAGGAACCTCATTTGTTCTTGCTGAAGTTCAAACGTGCTGCGTAACACGAGAGCGTTTTGAGCGTCAATTAGAAAGTTGAAAGTCAGCGGCAAGCAGCGGCAACCGCCAGCAACCAAACGGAATATAGACGTCCTTCACGCTGGCTGATTCCGGAGAAACACACAATGTAAACTTTCGTTCCTACCAAAACGTTCGTTCCGAGATAACTGAAGAGAAGCTTATCATCGCCGTTGCTGTGATTTATAATTTATGACATGACGTTGTTTGCTTAGGAACCGCATGAGCGCAAATTTTATTTGAAATATTTACGAACGCTCGTTTTAAAGCGGGAATGCAATTAATTTGCTCATGGTGACACCGATTTGACCGCAAATAATAGGCTAATAATAGTAGCTAACTATTTTTTCCCGACCAAATGTGACCAAAACTGTTATAAAAATGCTGTCATTAAAAAAGGCTTCTTCAATGTATTGCTTGTTTTTTCTGTTTATTACATTTCATGTAGCGTTCAAAGCGTCAACAAGCTTCCCCGTGCTTTTTGACAAGCGTCCTTGACAGGGCGGCCAGAGCTTCTCAAGTCTAAGATCTGTTCATCATATAAAGCGATCACGTCTCTTCAAATATTTTGCACAAATCCGATTAATTCATATGGATGAATGAAAGTTTTACATGTTTGGAACAACATAAGGGTGCCTAAATGATGACAGAATTATAATTTTGAGTGAACTATCCAAGATGATTGAATGGATTCCACCTGTGAGGAAAACTGACGTCATAATCCACTAAAATCACCTTGACGTCACTTGAGTTTAAAAATAATTGCAAAAGAAAAAAACAGACTCACTAGCAGCATTTGTTTGCCGATGTCAGTTCTTTCAACAAAATTCAAACATTTTAACTAGTTTAAGTGTCCACATACTTTTTTGGACCTGCTTTATGAAGAATAAAGTATGTGATGTGATGTTCAGGTATGGAGGTGGCTGCAGCTCTCACAGATAAAGCTCACTCAGTGTCTGTGATCGGCATAGAGGCCGTGCCGTTCCGGAAAGCTCTCGGGGAGAAAGTGGGGAAAGCTTTGATGAAGGTGAGAGAATGTATCTTATCTACTACAGTAACTATCTATCCATTCATATATAGAAAGAGAGACTGAATATATAGTATATTGTAACGCGGTTTAGTCGTTGTGGGAGGAAGAAGGCGGGAAGCGGCGAACATTTTAAGATTTTAATAAGAAATAAAACAAGTACAAAATGAAAGTAAAAGACAGCAGCCCCTCACGGACGACTGCTGTCACATATAATAAAACAAAACACAAGATCAGGCCTGTTCCTCTCTCAATCTTCACTGTCGTCGCTCCCCCTTTATGCTTCCGCTATATAATAGTAGCCTATTAAAATTTAAGCTTTGTATACGTAAATAAGCATTTATCTTTAAACGGTGTCTCAGAGATCCCTCAACTTTTTTTTATGAAGAGCCAAAAATCAAACTTGATTGAGAGCCGTGGGTCGAAAGTAAATGATGCATTATACCCATTATACAATGCAACACTATATTATAACTATGTCATTTAAAAAAATCAAATTCACTTAAATTCTGTATATTTTAAAGCAAAAATTAACTAAACAAACAGATAAATATGAAGAAATGCTTTAAAAAATAAGGTGAAGTGTGAACCTTCAAAGCTTAGAAAGCTAAATAATTGTTAACAATACAGAAAAGCAATTGTATATATTTAGAAATTAGCAAAGTTAAATTAATACATTTAAATCATTACTTTTGCCAGTGTTTTGAGTGTGTATAATAACTTTCAACTTTTATAAACCTGATTGTTGTCCCACACCGCCAATTTCCAATCTCATATTTTCTTCTTGCATAATAAACTCTAAAAGGGTGAAATGACTCGCTTCACTGTATTTTATCCCTTGCTGTAACCGCACATTATATTCAAAAAGTATTTCCCTCATCGCATTTTTCTTTTCTTTTTGTTTCTCTACTCAGCTATTCGAGTTGAACAGGGTGAAGTTCTACATGTTGAACGAGGTGTGGGAGATGCGAGGGCATAATGGACAGGTATCATGAAAGTGAGAGAAACAGGAGTTCAGTGAAGTGTAGGTCTCTCTCTGTCTTTCTGCCTCTCTCTCTCTCGCTCTCGTTCCTGTTGATTGATTAATTACACTTGCTCTCACAGTGGCTCTGCTTACCTTTGAATATTTTCTAACACACCTATTGCATTGATGGAGTGGCCCTGGGCTAAAATACAAGAACTCATAACACCAGAACAGCCAGTGAAGTAAATGTATAATTGAGATTAAGCTGAATTGTGATCTGTTATGAAATGACACTTTTGATAAATATGTCTTTCTCAAGGAGTAATAATGAGATTTGTATGCTGTATTTGAAGTCACAGTAGTCAGACTGAAGTGCCAACTATAAGAACATAAATATGAAATTGAAATATATTTTTGTTTCTTTTGTTTCAATAGTTAAAAGAAGTGGTTCTAAAAAGTGGCAAAGTCTTAAGAGCTGACGTCTGTGTTATTGGCATAGGTGAGTCAATGAAATTACAGAAATCTGGCTTTCATTTTTTTTTACGGTTGCAAGTCCCAATGTAGTCTTGACTATAAAAATGATACAATTTTTAACATTTTTCACAAGTCTGTCATGCTCACTAAAGGGAGTAAAACGGTAATATTGTGATATATTATTACAATTTAAAATAGCTATTTTCTGTTCGAATATATATTAAAATGTAATTTATTCCTGTGATGCAAAACTGAATTTTCAGCATTATTACTCCAGGTCCTTCAGAAACATTTCTTATTATTATTATTAGCAATTTTTAATATATATATATATATATATATAGGGCTTGACATTAAAGGGGTGGTTGATTATGATTTCACTTTTCTAACTTTAGTTAGTGCGTAATGTTGCTGTTTGACCATAAACAACATCTGCAAAGTAATAACACTCAAAGTTCAAAGCAAAGGAAGATAGTTGCTTTTAAAGAAATCGTTTTAAGGACTACAACAAATGGATTGTATGGACTACACAACATTTCTCCCGGGTTATTATTATTATTAGTGACATTACTAACCCTAACATTTACATAAACTGGGAACACACAGTCCATGTTGAGAAGAGGAAGAGTTGTTGTCTACTGTATATGGCAGTTTTTTACTATAGTATCAATGTCAAAATTGTGGCCAGTGAAAATGCTGAGTGGCTAGTAACTTTGTAATGTATATTATTTTTTATAACCATTATTGCCCACCCAGAAAAGCAAATACATAACACACTATAGTGGGGCATGTTGTCAAAACTATGTGGGTTACAGCAAATTGTCACAATGAAAACTTGCAGTTAACCAGGCTTTAAACAGATTTAAACAGTACAATAATTACAAAATACATTTAAAAAATACCTATGTGTGTCAGGGTCCTGATTATAAGTATGTGTGTGTGTGTGTGTGTTTAGGCTCGGGTCCAGCCACAGCATTCCTGAAGCAGAGTGGAGTGCACATGGACTCCAAAGGATTCATCCCAGTCAATAAGGTTCATTCATTCTGCATGTTACTGTATCTACTGTACATCTCTTACTACAGTACATGTTATAACACATTATCATCTGTTACCAAACTACTACCAAGCTGTGCCAATCTGCCCATACTTATTTCTACTGTATCAGTGATAAATTGTTGTTTTAGTGCGACGATGATGACCTTGAGGATTACATGCTAATTAGTCTCATAATAGTGTGTAAATGACACCTTTAAAGGAGTAGTTCACTTTTGAAAAAACTTTTGCTGATAATTTACTCACCCCCATGTCATCCAAGATGTCCATGTCTTTCTTTCTTTAGTCGAAAAGAAATGAAGGTTTTTGATGAAAACATTCCAGGATTTTTCTCCATATAATGGACTTTACACGTCCAAAAGACAGTTTGCAAACTGTTCAAAGGGCTTTAAACGATTCCAGACGATGAATAAGGGTCTTATCAAGCGAAACGATCGCTCGTTAAACAAATAAATAACACGTTTGTTGAGAATCACGTTTGTGACTCTCCTGTTCGAACTCGTTCATCAAAATGAACGAATCTTTTTCCGAGTCATTTGGTTAATTCAATGAATGAAACGAACGAATTGACTCTGGAAAAGATTCGTTCATTTTGATGAACAGGAGAGTCACAAACGCGCATCACAGAACAGAGCAAGGCGACCATTTGAGCTTATAAAACTTAAACTTTATTTTTTTTTTTTAAACATGAGCGATCGTTTCGCTTGATAAGACGCTTATTAATCGTCTGGAATCGTTTAAAGCCCTTTGAACAGTTTGCACTGAAACTGTCTTTTGGATCAGTAAAGTCCATTATATGGAGAAAAACCCTGGAATGTTTTCATCAAAAACCTTAATTTCTTTTCGACTGAAGAAAGAATGACATGGACATCTTGGATGACATGGGGGTGAGTAAATTATCAGCAAAAGTTTTTTGAAAAGTGAACTACTCCTTTAACCCTTTCAGACCATGCAGACGAACATCGACGGGGTCTTCGCTGGGGGTGACGTGGTAACGTTTCCTCTAGCTCTACGCAGCAATAAGAAGGTGAACATTCCCCACTGGCAGATGGCTCATGTACACGGTAAGACCTGTAGCCCACTGGGGTGTTTTCATGATGTTTCATTCATTCATTTGTCATTTTTCCATCTTCCACTGCAGGTAAAGTGGCTGCCCTCAGCATAATGGGAAAGCCTTCAGACATTAAAACGGTGCCTTATTTCTGGACAGCCATGTTCGGGAAAAGCATACGATATGCAGGTAAGTGCGAACTTCTAGCACTGAAAAATACACTTCATGAACACACTAGACTCAGTGAGTGTTTGACGTAGTTTCAGCGTCAGCGCTCCCTTAACGCATCTCAAGTGCTTTAAATCTTGTTGTCAAGGTTACGGAGAAGGCTTCGATGATGTCGTCATCCAGGGAGATTTGGATGACCTGAAATTTGTGGCATTCTACACAAAGTGAGTTCAAAATCAAGTAGTTTTAATGCCAAAAGAGTTTGTGTTGACGTAAGCTGTCTGTATTATTATGTTTTTTTTTTTATTCCACAGCACAATACTATTATTATATTCATAATTAATTTCTTTATTGGTTTGTTAACATTTACATCGAATAAAATTATTAGTAGTATTTTATTAAATGATATAAACAAATAAAGTTTTATATTTATTTATTTTTTTAGAAATTATTACTATTTATAATAATAATGTGACAGCTGTTAGATATTCATTCTGATATCAATTGATGCAACTGATCAGAAAACTAAGGTGACTTTAACACCTTACACACTAGTTTTGCACAGAGCATTATTGATTCGTTACACTGTATTTATCTTGAATTTCAAGTAAAATGTGTGTGATTTAACCTGCGATTAAAATGAGTGGCAGGGACTTAATAATTAGTCATTTCTGTTATTAGTTTTGGATATTGCTCACTCTGTTAATGAGCTCAAAGATTATGAGTTTGTGATTTTTCTAGACATAATCTACTATCTTAACTGCATTCTTATTTTCTAAAATCCAATAATATATATTTATATCACAGATAAAATAGCACAAAAATAACAACCGTTTTCAATATTGATAATAGTGATAATCATAAAAAATGTCTCTTGAGCAGTAAATCATCAGGTTAAAATGATTTCTGAAGGATCATGTGACACTGGTGTAATGATGCTGAAAATTCAGCTTTGCAAAACAGGATTAAATTACATTTTAAAATATATTCCAATAGAATACAGTTATTTTAATTTGTAAAATATTTTGCAATTTTACTGTATTTTTGATAAATACTAATTTTGCAATATTACTGTTTTTTTGATAAATAATAATTTTGCAATATTACTGTATTTTTGATAAATAAATTCAGCCTCGCTGAGCATAAGATACTTCTTGAGATAGATACTTACTTTCTTCCATAACATACACTTTTTTTTTGTACATGTTTTCCAACTTTTGACAGGTACGGTATTCATTTATATGAAACTATATGATTGTCGTTGGTATACTCGTGTTGAGCCGCTGAAGCTCAGTGTTGTGTGTTTAATCCACCGTGATTACAGGAGCGAGGAGGTGGTAGCCGTGGCCAGTATGAACTACGACCCCATTGTGTCACGGGTTGCCGAAGTCTTTCGCTCTGGAAAGACGATTAGGAAACGTGACGTGGAGTAAGTACATTTTCTAGTTTCACAGAAAACACTGACTATAAACATAGTAAGATTTAGTATAGACATGAAATCTGGCACTTTTTACCCCAAGTACAAGGTTTTCATCCAACACTTATTTAATTTGTTCTAAGTTTAGACGATAACCCCGACACAAACTCCTTGCATTTTATCATTCTTACCTATAAAAGAGTATTTAAAATTTTGCGTTGTATTATTTTCCCTGCAGGACAGGAGACATGTCATGGCTGATAGACAAAGGCTCACAGTGAGAACGTGCACATTATGTGTTTTCCTTGCCGAACTCGGACGTTCTCCTGTACCAGACGTAGTCTTAGTGCTGCAGCTGCAGTTGGTTAAGTGGGACACTACATGGGAGACGTATGCTGTCCTAAAGCGAGCACCTGGGCCGTGCCGAGGACGTCGTCCCCGTGAGGTGGAACCTCTCCAGGCCTGGATTCATTCACAGCGCTAACAAATGAGCCTCTCTCTCTCTCTCTCTTTGATTCGCAGATTGGTCGACTCTGGCCTCTCTGCTTTTGCATGAAGCATCTGCCTGTACACTGGAGAGCCGTTAAGGGGAATTATCATATTTTATTTTGTACGTGCGACTTTGTATATAGCTGTTACCAGAAGAAACATTCAAAAAAATAAGACTGCACTTTTCGTACCGAACCTCTGCTACTGATTAGCCTGGCTACGGGATGTTTGGCTCTCATCGAAATATGCAGCCCCATGCAGCTTTGCTTGCGGCAGTTTGTAGACGTAGAGAGAGCAGATGCATGATCATTCATATGCACAGGGCATTCGTTTTCATTAAGAATTTCCCAAAGGATTTTAACGTGGGATTATTATTCAGGGAAAGTAACAAGGTCCATATGTCAATGTCTATGAATATAAATGAAATATAGGTAACACTTTATTTCAATAGTCCACTTTAGACATTCAACTAACTATAAGTACCTTTTCAACTACATGTCATTATAGTATTAGTAGACTGTCAGCGTAATATCTGCTAACACTTTATTTTGTTGGTCCCCCAACAGACATTCAACTGACTACAAGTAACTTGGCGACTACAAGTAAATTTATTCTCCTAAACCGAACCGAACCATAACAGTCTACTATAATATACTAGTTGACATGTAGTTGAAAAGTTACTTCTAATTAGTAGAACGTCTAAAGTGACTATCAAAATAAAGTGTAAGCGAAATATATGATACCATATATCACAATTTACATGGTAATTGGGCGAATATCACACAACCATAATCTTAAAGCTTAAAAGAAAAGTTTATTTTTAAGACCAGTATATATATTTTTTTTTTGCATTGTGACATTTTCAGATATATACATATATATATATATGACATGTGTGTGTGTGTATGTATATGAAAATGTCACAATGCAAAAAAAATATATATACTGGTTTTAAAAATAAACTTTTCTTTCATATTTTCATATATATATATATATATATATATATATAATTAATAAATAAAACATACTGGTTTACACACTGCATTTTTCATTATTTCAGTAATGAGAATTTATATATCTTTTTTTCATGAGAATTCAGCATACCCCCACACACACACACATTCTCATTACTGAAATGTTACATTTATTACTTTTATAACATTTTCAGTCATTTTCTTTATGCGAAATGTAATTTTATGATTTCCAAATATAATCTGATTTAGCGGTGAGCTATGACCTGGACATGTTATTGACAGAGTTCATCATCTTTTATTCAATGGAAAATCTCCATGGAAATACAGCGATGCAGTCATTTTGAATGTTCTGACTGAAGCATGGCCTGAAACACTCGCTGACCTTTAACGATGACAATATACCTCTTGCTCATGGGAACGGTGGTTGCCCTGATAGTTAATTGCACAAGACGACAAATATTTAAATCTATAACTTTATCTATAGAAATGCTCGTATTATAAGAGTCGAGGCCTGTATTTTTTGACTAATCGTAAAATGATTTATTGATGACAGACTGATTGATTGTTGATTGTATTTTTAGATCGTGCGCGATAATAACGAATGCTTTTCTTGTAGCTCTGACCTCCTATAGCTTTTCTTTGGTACTAACTCAGGGATCGGAGGTTTCAGTCATATGGGACAGGTTCTGGTGGAATACAAAATGATGAATAAATTTGTTGCTATAACATTTTATTTTGCGTTTTGTTCTTTCAAATATACTTACACAAGCAAGCTATTTATTATCGTATAAGACAGCACAATACTCAATTTAAAGAAGACAAAAAAAATGTTGAATTCAAAATTACATCCAATTGTAAAAGCACTGTGAAAACATTAAGAAATTTGAGTATTATTGCAGCCCTAAGAAAGGCGTTTTTGCAATATTGAGGTAAAGGCATTTTATTTTAAAAGTCATGGAAGTGCTATGGTTTTTTTTAAAGGGATAGTTTACCCAAAAATGAAAATGTTGTCATAATTTACTCACCCTCAAGTTCCAAACTTGAGTTTCTTTCAGTTTATGGTCCCCATTGACTTTTTCCATACTATGGAAGTCAATGTTTGGATACCCATGTTCTTCAAAATATATTTTGAGTTCAACAGAAGAAAGAAATTCCTACAGGTTTGGAACAACTTGATGGTGAGTAAATGATGACAGAATTTTCATTTGGGGGTGAACTGTCCCTTTAAATTGACATTTTCTTAAATTTACATTTAAAAAGCTGAAAAACCAAACAAAATAAAATAAAGAAATATATCAGTTTGTGATTACACCCAGTACTGTATATATGGACGGTCTTCATCTTCAAAACCAGCTCGTCCAATATTGGTTTGACTGATGCAAGTTCATAGTATTCATAAAACAATGCCCTAAAAATAGCTACAATTTTAACATTTGTTGGCAGCATCACCTCAAATCCCTGATAACTACTACAAAACAACGTTACAAAATCACATATAAACCACATAAAATACACAGACAAACATGAACATGCAACAGTACATTCACATACATACTGTATATGACAGGAAGAGCGCTTCTTCTGTGGCTGCTGGAAGAAATTCTTCTGTTACACCATATCAAAAGTAGAAATGTCACTATAAACACTGAGAAGAGAGATTATAAGGTTGAATTCGGTGGTTAAAGGAGTAGTTCACTTTAAAAAAAACTTTTGCTGATAATTTACTCACCCCCATATCATCCCAGATATCCATATTAAGGTTTTTGATGAAAACATTCCAGCATTTTTCTCCATATAATGGACTTCAGTGGGAACCAAACGGTTCAAGGTCCAAAAGACAGTTTCAGTGAAAAGCATTTTTGCTTAAAAAACTTTTTTTTTTTAAATGACCGATCGTTTCGCTAGATAAGACCCTTATTCATCGTCTGGTGTCGTTTAAAGCCCTTTGAAGCTACACTGAAACTCTCATTTGGACCTTGAACCGTTTGGTTCCCATTGAAGTCCATTATATGGAGAAAAACCCTGGAATGTTTTCATCAAAAACCTTAATTTCTTTTCAACTAAAGAAAGAATGACATCTTGGATGACATGGGGGTGAGTAAATTATCAGCAAAAGTTTTGTTAAAAGTGAACTACTCCTTTAAGCGTACCTTTGGTTTCTCCCACAGTGCACCTGGAGATCATAAGAAGGCAGCAGAAACCAGGCTAATTTCTCATGATAATCAGCGTTTATGGAGTCATCATATGCTGATAATAAACAGTTCTAGGTCTGTTTAGAAAATTGCTTCAAATAGAAAAACTAGCTGGTGTATGAGAATACTGAGGTCATGTTTGTATATCACATTTTGATCAACACTATTCACATTTAACGAAAAGGCACCTATTTGTTTTTATCACTCATGTAACTAGAGTAAAAATTAAAAAAATGTGACGCTTTGAGCGGAATCATAAATGCCTCTGATTGGCCACAGTACTCACGTGCTCATCGGATTTGTCTGTGATTGGCTACAATGATCAGCGCTTCAAAAACATGTTGTAAATACACATCAATGCTTACACAGATACAGACGCCTACTTGAGCTTTCATTGTAGCCAATCACAGACATATCCGATGAGCCCGTAAACACAATGCCGGTACTTTTTGACCACTCTACAAAGAACAATGAAACTACATCAGTATTTTAACACACACACACACGGATGTGCTTTATATGAATTATTCTGACGGCTGATGTGACCAACAGCCGTCATTCCGGCTTCCTTCAGAAATCATATTCTGCAGCACACTGGCGAAGATACTCCTCATACAGTTTCCGCTAAGACAAAGATGACAAATATTACAAGATTAGATGAAGATAAACATCATCTGCAATCCTTCTAAAGGGTTTCATTTCAAATGGAAGCTGTTTTTTTGATAATGTCACATCTTTGCTGAAAAACCAGACTCCATTAGTGGTTGGCTGGTCTGGACTGGTAGTTTCAGAGGGGTTTTAGACACTTGTCAGCTGGTAATTGTAACAAATTTTATAATATTTAATGTATATGTCAACATTTGTATATTAAACTTTTTAAAACCATTAGATTTTTTTTTTTTTATAGGCATATTTTAAAGCAAAAAGTCAAATAGAATCAAAATCAACGTAGCCCTCAATCGGGTCATGGGGTCTATACGACCCCAATCGATTTTTACTTAATAAAAAAAATAACTTAATTCCCTTCATCTCAGTGGAATAAGATTTTGTGACTTTTCATACATTATCTGTCTATACACATATTGAAGGTATGTAAAACAAAATGTTTACACTTCTGGTCTTCGGGATCAATATGACCCCAAATGGAAATGAACGGGAAATGTGAAAAAAAACTAATTATAATTTCTTCATGTGTCAAAAAAAATAAAAATAAAAATAAAAATCTGGCATAAATCTGAAAATTTTCATATGCAAGCTAATGGTGTGGTTGAGGTATTGTGTGGTATATGGATACAAAAGTACTTTATATCTCCAAAAACACAGCATTAATGAATAGATGAGAAAATTATATATTATTTGTATGATTAAAAATGTATATTTTTTTGTACAATTAATCAATCAATTGTTTTCGAAGGCCAGAAGTGTAAACAGGAAACGAAGACCATTTGAAGGTTAAAAAACAAATCAAGGCATGTTTTGCTCAAAGTTTTTCTCTAAATAGTATTTAATCATACAGTATAGTATAGTATATAAAAAAACTATATTTACTCTTTAATACATTAAAATGCAAATGAAAAAGAGTGTGGAATTTATATATATATATATATATATATATAAAAAGAATCACTTCCATGTTAGTTTTGCTACCGAAGTTCAAATTAGAGACACTATTAATTAAAACACACTCTACACTCGTATTGAAAAGTTTGAGGTTGGTAAGATTTGATGATTACGTTTAAAGAAGTCTCTTATGTTCACCAAGGCTGCATTTAGGAGACTGAAATACAGTAAAAATTAAATGAAACACTATTTCAAATTAAAAAAACTGTTCTATTTGAATATATTTTAAAATGTCACATGATTCCTCAAAAATCATATGCTAACATGCTGATTTGATGCCCGATAAATATTTCTTATTATTATCAATAATATTTTCCAGGATTTTTGATGAACAGAAAGTTCAAAAGAACAGATTTGATTTAAAATAGAAAAAAAATATATATATATTTCTTTCAAAAAACAAATCTTACTGATCTCAAACTTTTGAACAGTATGGTAATTATCAACACAAGGAAGGATTATGAGACTACTGTAAATAGTGTATTATTGATATTCACAGTGGTGAACATTGAACGCATCACCTAACCCTACTGGTAGATCAACAAACCACTTTAGGTTGGATTAAGTTGATTTGTTGAACAGCGAAACATCGATAGCAAAGCGTGTCGTACCTTCTTGGATTTGAGGACATCCTGTATGTAATCACTGAACTCCGCCAGTTTCTTCTTCTCTTTCTTAGTAAGCGTCTTGTTTCCCTGACTGAAGGAGACCAGAGCATTCATTAAACTCATCAAGTGACCATAACAAAAACAAGATTCAGAAGTCCTGCATACGCCACCAGAGAGAAGTCTGTCATTTTCACCAAAACATCCAGTTTTGACAAAACATTATTTCAAAAAAAGTTTGAAATGAAACATTAATTGTTCACAATTACACCTATAATTTGCAAGTAGCTGACAAGTGTTGTCATCTTGAAAACAAAGTTGGTCATTTTGCATTTTTCAACCAATAGTATATTTTTGCATTTTGAAAGTGGAGAAAAGGATGGATTTGTTGCACCAGAAAGAAAGTCAAGTTGAATGCATTGCATTGTGGGATATGCTCTTTGCATCCTGTAAGCTCTGTTGTATAATAAGGTATCTGGCTTTTCTATATCTACAGAAAAAATTGCATACTGTTGCACTGTTGACTAAACAGTAATGTTAGTGTGATATTCCAAAATAGCCAAAGGATAAAGTGCTAAATAAATCAATATAAATGATATCAGAGTTATGGTGCCCCCTAGTGACTCACCGTGCAAAATACTTGGCCAGAAAGAACATGAAGTAGCACAGAGCGCCGAAGGAGATCCCAAACCATATCTGCCAGTCTTCAGGAATCCATTCCCACAGATACACCACTATTCCCTATTAAAATACAAGCACACACACAGAATAAAAATAAATCCTAAAGGGATAGATTCAACCAAAAATGAAAATTCTCTGATCAAATACTCACTCACGACTGTTTTCAGGAGTCAAGATGTTTAGGAAAATAATCAATCTGTGGGTGAAGGTTTAATGAATCAATGTCTTCTGAAGCGAAACGTTAGGTTTATGTAAGAAAACAACATAATCGAATCATTTAAAGCACCCCCACCGCGTAACAGTGAAAACAAGGGATGACGGAAAAATCAGTCAAAGCATTGTCTCATAAATGACACGGGAAAAGAAAAGCAGGGAAAGAGTTAATAAAATTAGTTTTTTTCCTACACACATCAATCGTTTTGCTTCAGAAGACATTGATTCGTCCAATGGGGTTGCATGGATTATCGTCACGCTCGCTGTGTGTGGTTTCTCGAGCGTCAAACGAGTGCCACTTGCATTATATGGATTATTATTTTCCTAAAATCTTGGTTTATCAGAAGAAAGAAACTCATATACAACAGGGATGGCATGAGGCTGAGTAAATGAGAGCATTTTCATTTTTTGGTGTACTATCCCTTTAAAAATAATGTCAGAAAACATCAAAAATGAGTTCGTACTGTGGAAAAGTAGAGCATTTTAGCCAATCCCTCTCCTACAAGAGTGTCCAGTTCCTCTGGAGCGAAAGTGCTGATGATGAAGCTGAGGATGAAGATCGACGGAAGGAAGATCCCCAGAACTGCGCACAGGAATGAATTAAAGCGGTTGCTTCTATTACAGCTCGCATTTACCCTGAGGGAAAGACAAATCAAATATATATGAGTCAGGATATAGAACAGATGATATGATGGATGGATGGATGGATGGATGGATGGATGTGTACCGGTCCTGCTCCAGTGTATGGTTGATGGTAGAGATGACCAGGTTACAGTCTTTCTCCAGCTGGTCAAGTGTTTTCTGCACTGCCTGGTTTATGCTCTTCTCAATGGTCTCACACACCTCATCAATCTGGTTGATGCATCTGCTGGGCTGTGCACACACAAACCAAAATCAATTGAAATCATTTTATATTCACTATACATCACCAATCTATACTAGTAGTGTCATGTGCTGAGCTGAGGGGTGTTATAGAAGTTCGATATAGTAATATAGCTATTTATCAGTTGCCAATGTAACGACCAACATTTTGCCAGAGCTGAATTAATGGAGGGATGAAGTAGTTTGCTGTCATTACCAACAAAGCCGCATGTGGATGCATTTTGCCGTCATGAGTATCGGTATAGAAACTAATCATTTTGAGGATATGAACAGCTCATTTTTGTGATTACAGTAAGGCCCCGTTTAGACGATGGGAAAACGCAGATATTTCTCTGCGTTTTGCCCTCTTATTTACACGAAAACGCCGTTTTTAATCACTGAAAACGATTACTTCTAAAAACTCCGGCCAAAGTGGAGATTTCTGAAAACGCCGGTTATGTGTTGTCGTGTGAACTGGGAGAAACGGCGTTTTAGGTTCTCTCTTGTCGTTTCTGAGGATTCTGATTGGCTTGAATGGCTTTATCCTTAACCCCTACACTGCCGCCAATAGGTTTGGCATAGTTATGATGGCGCTCGACGGCGTATTTATGCGGGTGTGTTAACGATGTTATTTTTGAAAACGGAGAGGGGGAAAATATTCGTTTTGCTAAATACCCGGCTTTGTGTAAACGTGGCCTAATTCCACCAATTTCGTCATTTTTTATATATCCTAGGCAAACTGACTGATATCGCAGACCAAATATACACTACCATTTAAAAAGTTTAGGGGTCATTTGGGGATTTTTTTTTAAGGGGTCATTTGGGGATTTTTTTTTAAGGGGTCATTTGGGGATTTTTTTTAAGGGGTCATGAACTGGCTTTTTACTTTTTATTATATCGTTGTCTGAGGTCGACTTATGATGTTCGCTTGGTTTTCACATTCAAAAACATCAAAATGAATAAGTAATAGGCGATTTTCTACCCTTGTTTGAGCCTAGAAAAAATAGCCTCAAAAAAACGTTCGGTTTTTATGGGCGTCTCGCATTGAAGACTTGGAAGTAAACGCCCACTGCTGTGAGTGGAGAACAGTTTTGCATATTATAATGAGTTTCGACTCACTCGTCGATGCAGCGACTGTCTTCTTTCACAACCAGGTGCTGCACAATATTTTGTAAACGGTATGTTTATTGCTCGGTAGCTCGATCCGGTTTTTCATCACGAGGTAGGCATCTATGTAATTTAGCTATGCGTATAATGCGTGAATCGGTGGGCGGGGCTAAACCGGCCATGTTGAAGTAGGCGTTGATCTTCTTCTGTGGGGGTGGTGTTTTATTCTCTTTAACGTCATAGTTCCCCACTTTGAAAAACGAGTCATTTGCTGAGCCTAGTGTCAATAAATGCTTTTATTGGACTAACAAGGACGTTTTCAGTTCTGAAACTTAGAGGATATTCTTATAATATGATGACCTTAGATGTCAAAAGCTCAAGGAAAATTTGATTTCTCAGTTCATCACCCCTTTAATGTTTTTGGAATAGTCTCTTCTGCTCACCAAGGCTGCATTTATCTCATCAAAATGACAGTAATAACAGTAATACTGTGATCAAAATGACAATAATAACAGTAATACTTTTCTATTTGAATATATTTTAAAATGAAATTTACTCCATGAATTTTCAGCATCATTACTCCAGTCTTCAATGTCACATGATCCTTCAGAAATCATTTTAATATGCCGATTTCCTGCTCAAGAAACATTTCTAATTATTATCAATGTTGAAAACAGTTGTGGTGCTTCATATTTTTGTAGACAATTGATCATTCTTTTCCATGAAAAGAAAAATACTTTACTGTCAAATTAATGCATTCTTGCTGAATATAAATATTAATGGGAGCCCAAACTTTAGAACGGTAGTTTATTACAGGCTGCCTGAAATATTAGTAAGATCACTTAGTAAGAAATCTTAATAGAATCAGCCCATTTGATCTTTGTAGCTTTAAGCTGGGCCTTTAAGAAAAGTGTCTGTTGACAGACAGAACTCATTAATGTTAATGATGCAGCGAGACATAAATCCATTTCCTCTGACACAGCAATGCATCATGGGCAGGCTTCCATTACTCATGTCAGATTCCAGTCCTAGGAGGGAAACCATAGACATTTAACCATCATTTCTTACTTTTTGAGGGTTGGGGATGTATATCGTGGGCATTTCAAAGCCACATTTGTTGAGTCCAGGTCTCCTGCACAGCTCTTGGACAATCTGCATCATCACTCGCTGTGGGAATAAAAACAACACCATGTACAGTATAACTAACGTAGACGTTTGACCTTAAGATGAGTTCATGTTGAATAGAAACTCCCGGAAGACTACTTTTGTAATAACAAAACTGTCTCATTTCTTTCTATCTGAGAAAAAAAATGATTATGGCAAGATGACCAAACATTAAAGTCAACATGAAATTTGATTAATACATCTTCCTGTAAAATCAAATCCCATTCTACATTTTATTGCAGACATAAATCAGATTCCTGAAGTAAAACAGGTTTGAATGTTCATATTGACTTTAAGGGCAGTGAAGGCACACACACACACACACACACACACACACACCTGTCTGTCCGTTTCTCGTCCAACCTCATCAGCTTTGCTCAGGTAAAAGCGCAGTTTGTCTCCACACTTCTCACTCAGCTTCTCAACGATGTTCAGTGTACGCTTGCACAACGCCTGTCCCATCGGGTCGAAAAACACGAAGATGAGGTCTGCCTGCTCACCTGGATACACACAGATATGTGAAATTATATTAAAATAACAGTTGTGTGATTTAACTTAGGGTATAAAACCACACTCAAATGCATTAGCAAACAAAATGGCACTGACATATTGTCTCATCAGCTTAATAAGATACTCAATCTTAAAAGGTTTGACAAATTTGCCTTCCTACATTGACATTCCCTTCTGAAACAGGATGTTGGGTTGGGATATCGAAGGGCTTGTCCTTTTTTAAAAAAAATAAAAAAAAAAATCCAATAAGCTTTAATTTAAGCCACAAGCCTGGAAGCAGGATTCCAATTTGCTACATCAATATTTATTGGTCCATCGTCTTGTACGAGAAAGACTGTACACTTTAAATGCTCCTGACCTAAATCATCTTAACTATGCTCTTGTACACTTGATTCTGATTGGTCAATCATCCAATGTGTATATCCACTGTTTTTTGTCAAACACTAGTGTTAATTTATAATCATTTATGTCCTATTATTATAAAATATTGACTTTTTAGTCCTCAACTTAATTTATTTCAGTCTGAATTTGCATGTACCCTTTTTAAGTTTAGATTTTCCCATCTAATATATGTTAATTCAGCTTTATTTTAATTAACAAAAAATATTTGTAATAGTTTTAGTTAATATAATCAACTCAATAGTGCATTGTGTAAGTTCCTCTTAACAGAAAAAATGGCTCGGCTCATTAAAAGAGTGAAACCACCGAGAAAATTCCTTGTAAAGATAAAATAGTCCAAAATGATGAGACACAGCCTTACCAAAAGAGGTGATGGCATTGTTGACATCAAACGGGTACACCATATCTCCATCCACCAACCCTGGAGTGTCCACAAACGTCACCAGGCTGAATTTCTTCTGCTTGGAGGTGGAAATCTCAGCGCTCAGGTAATCCGTGACACCTACAATATACAACTGCAGGCATTGATAAAGCTGCGCTGGAATTAGAAACCTTTATGGATTCATTTTAAATCTGCACAGTTGTTTCAAAACTAAAATAAATAGATAAAACTTGGAGGCGATGAATTCTTATTGGCTCATTGCCCTTCAAATCTGATTCGTCCCACTTTCATGACCACGCCCCCTCTGGTGGTCTGTTGTCATGGTTACACACAACAGCTCTTCAACTGGCAGCTTTAAGATACAGACACATAAAGCTAGCCAGTGAAGAACGACTGTGAAGCAACGCCAATACTTCAAAAGCATGTACAGTAAGATAAAACAACAACGTTCACATTATCTAAAGATTGCAACCGGTGCAAAAGTCATTGCCACAATGGATGCTTACATGTTCTGAATGATTCTAGCACGTTCTACGCAATAGCTAAGGTTTTTGGGGTGGTTTTTACTCAAAAATATTCAGTTTTTTAATCATCATGCAGGTGAAAACCATGATTGTTTAGACAAAGTAAAATCACACCTGATTAACCTGCATAGAAACTACACATCATGTCTCATTATGCACTTCACAACACATCTGCGGTTCACACTGAAGCTCTTTATAGTGGCCGCAGGCGTGCAGGATCTCACACAAACCCGATTTGTTCTGTCTCATCTACATTCACCAAAGGTGCACCAACACACCCTCAAATCGGTCTGTCCATCTCTCTCACTCTCCACTGCTCTCTCTTACAGAAAACACAGTGAGATCTGCAGGAAGTCTCTGGTAAAACGGTAGATCACAGAGAGTCAATGTTTCTTTTAAACTTTCTAAAATACACAAATGTTTCCAGACAGTAAGACTACAAAGATATAAAATGGACGTAGATGATAAAGTGTATGATTTCTCTTCCACCACCATACACACTACCGTTCAAAAGTATGAGGTCAGCAAGATTTTTAAAAGAAGTCTCTTCGGATCACGAAAAATAACGTTTCTATTTCATATCTATTAAAGTGTAAAAACGTACTATACTATAAAATGTATTTAAAATGTATTTTCAGGCTGAAGAGATATATAAATTAAAGGGATAGTTCACTTTGAAATTAATTTTTGGTATGTTTTAGCTTACCTCAAGGGCATCCAAGATGTAGGTGTCTTTGTTTCCACAGTATTTTCAATTTTGATATTTTTAGGTCAAACCGTTCTTGTCTCTCAGTCATATAATGGAGGTCTATGGTCACCACCTCAAAGAGCATGCACAGAGAAGTCCAAATTAAACATGATTTAATGACTCGTAAATGTAAGTACACATTGATGGCCTAAGACACGAAACGAGCGGTTTGTGTGAGAAAACGAACAGTATTTATATTATTTTTATCTTGTGTAACCACAGCCACGTCCAAGTGATCTGAGGGCACGGGTGCTTTGGTCTGCGCAAGCGCCGGAAGTGATCTCTTGCATGGTTGCGAAAAAAAATAAATAAATCAACGTTGTCTGTTGATATATCAAAATCGTCTTCCATTGCAATTTTAAATCATGTTTAATTTGGACTTCTCTGTGCATGCTCTTTGAGGTGGTGACCATAGACCTCCATTATATGGCTGACAGACAAGAACGGTTTGACCTAAAAATATCAAAATTGAAACTGTGGAAACAAAGACATCTACATCTTGGATGCCCATGAGGTAAGCTAAAACACACCAAAAATTAATGTCAAAGTGAACTCTCCCTTTAATAGACACAAACAAGACCATTACTTACATACAAAAACAGTATTAGCTATAAAATGAATGTGGGTATTTTTAGATCATTAAGCTTTTAATGAGAAATAAATACTTGAATTCATACTGAAATGCTCACCAAGGCTACATTTATTTGTATAAAACTTTCAAATCAAGTATTTTCCATTTTAAAATTGTTTTAAAATGTACTTTATTCCTGTGACGCAGGATCATGTGTCACATGATCCTTCAGAAATCATTCTAATATGCTGATTTGCTGCACAAGAAACATTTCTTATTATTATCAATGTTAAAAACAGCTTAATATCATTTTTTTCCCCAGGATTCTTCATAAGTGTCCTACTGTCACTTTTGATCAATTGAATGCATCTTTGCTGAATAAACCCATTCATTTCTTAAAAAAAATAAATCTAGCTGACCCCAAACTTTCATTCCACAGGCACTACGTTATTAAAATCAGATTTAGTCATGTGCATGTGATAAGCTCAATAACCATCTTTGAGTCTTTTTTAAGGTGAAGAGGTAACTGAGAGATCCGTCTCACTTTGCTGACACTGCTTCTGAAAGGTGCAAGGAGATACTGAGGGATCTAGTCCACTGGGGAAATGTCAAAGGTCAAGAAAGTGCAGCATCATCTCCAAACTGCAAAGCAGCCACACTGCGGAGAGACCCGACTCATAATGATAGTATCAAACTTATTGAGAACCACACGAAACCACACCCAAACAATGCACCAATCGCAAATCTCATTAATCTTTCCTACACAAACCCACACCCTAACAACCAACACAGACGTTTTACACGTTTGAAGGCAAGCAATGGAGGTTCTCAAGCGGAAACTTGGCTTAAAACTTCATACAGACAAAAAATAACCAGAAAATTGATTTTTTTACTTTAAATAAAGTGCAATTAAAAAAAAGAACTGTACATGAAAATCGAAGAACGCATGCATGTTTCACAAGCAGAACATCTCATAATATCAGGCTCGTGATACACTACGTACAATATGCCATTTTCATTTCATATTTGTGCTGTTGATCGTATGTTCTGTGTAGCAGTAATGTGGGAAGACATTTCTCCCTCTGTATCCTACCAGTGCTGCACTATTATCAATGTGAATGACTCATTCTGGTTCTCTGCACCAGGTGAGCCACACACTGCCCACTGAAGGAGAACTGCATGACAGTGATGCCCTCTGACACGCCCAAAGATCACTCACCTACACCAACCAACTCTTACATAAACACACAGTGACAAACGTGAAGTTTATCGACTCGAGGAGCATGTGAATGAGACGTGTTCCTATGTTTCGGATACAGCCCTGGCCGTACATATACGCTCGCATGACTCAGTGTGAGGTGTTAGTCATAGCTGTGAACTCTCCTGCCTCGACTACACATTTTCATCAACCTCGGTCTAATTTCGAAGCAATAAATGAGGAAAATAGCTTTTGAAGAGTTTGCATGACCAAAATTCTCAATTTTTTAAATTGTGCAAGCATGCGGCAATCATCAACAACACCTATGTTGTTATTTATTCACGTTCGATACGCATGGAGCGGACGAAATTTAGATTCATTTTATATGAACATCACAAGAAAAATACAGGTGTGCAAGACTACAAATTGCAATGTAAATCAAAATGCTGAACAGGTAAATCAGAGCAACATACATCACCAGAAATCACATTGAAACGTGCTGAAATATTGAAATCACAGAGATCATATGAATCATAACATCTCTGTAATGCCGATTAAACCTGAATCTTTTGACAGGAAGAGTTAATAAATATCAATCTGAGATTATAATATCCTACCTTTGAACTCCAGCAAAGGTCTGAAATGTGGGTAGAGGTGTAGCGTTGCATTTCCCTGTGAGGAAGAGAAGCAAACATGTTGAGAAAGGAAAGCTAAGACACATTTAAAGAGGAGTATGTGGTGTGAAGTCAGAAGCCAGGCCCACTGTAGGGAGGCTCCCTGCTCTCTCTCTCTCTCTCTCTCTCTCTCTCTCTCTCTCTCTGCAGGCTGGGTGATGATGGTCTCGGACACACTGCAGCTCTCTTCCTGTTCTTCATGTAAAGAGCTGATAATGCTTTCATATCACTCCTTCAGCGGGATTACATTACTCACGTCGAGGTCTTCTTCACAGACGGAGAAGGAAAGAGAGAGAGAGCCCTATATGCTAGGGAAAAAAGACGCTGTGTCTTTAAGAGAACCCCTCTGCTTCCAGAAGAAGTGACTGACTGAGCTGTGATATTGTGTATGCTTTCACCACACGCACACATGTACAATTTTCCCTCTTGCTCTCACTTAAGCATTTCCTTGTTAACACTGGATCCATAATCTGCATTCACCAAAAGAAGATCGCATTGCTCATGGGTTGCTCTTTCATGGCTCAGGAGATTTAAAGGAGTAGTTCACTTTAAAAAAAAACTTTTGCTGATAGTTTACTCACCCCCATGTCATCCAAGATATCCACGTCTTTCTTCAGTCGAAAAGAAATTAAGGTTTTTGATGAAACATTACAGGATTTTTCTCCATATAATGGATCTCAATGGGAACCAAACGGTTCAAGGTCCAAATGAGAGTTTCAGTGCAGCTTTAAACGACACCAGACGATGAATAAGGGTCTTATCTAGTGAAACGATCGGTCACTAAAAACATTTGTGTTTTATAAGCTCAAATGGTCGCCTTGCTCTGTTTTGTGATGCGCGTTCGTGACTCTCCTGTTCGAACTCGTTCATCAAAATAAACCAATCTTTTTTCGAGTCATTTGGTTCACGAAATAAGATAAGACCCTTATTCATCGTCTGGTGTCGTTTAAAGCCCTTTGAAGCTGCACTGAAACTCTCATTTGGACTATTTGGTTCCCATTGAAGTCCATTATATGGAGAAAAATCCTGTAATGTTTTCATCAAAAACCTTAATTTATTTACGACTGAAGAAAGAAAGACATGGAAATCTTGGATGACATGGGGGTGAGTAAATTTTCAGCATAAAAGTTTTTTTTTTTCTTAAAGGGATACTCCACTTTTTTTGGAAATAGGCTCGTTTTACCACTCCCCCAGAGTTAAACAGTTGGGTTTTACCTTTTTCTAATCCATTCAGCCAATTTTCTGATATTTAGAAGAATATCGGTAACCAGACAGTTTCTGGTCTCATTGACTTCCATAGTAGGAAAAACATATACTATGGAAGTCAATGAGACCAGAAGCTGTCTGGTTACTGATATTCTTCTAACCAAACAGTTGCTGGTCCCCATTGACTTCCATTGTATAAAAAAAAATACTATGGAGGTCAATGGGGACCAGAAACTGTTTGGTTACCAGCATTCTTCTAAATATCTTCTTTTGTTTTCAACAGAAAAAAACTAAAGAATTAAGTTTTATATAAAACATTGGGGTGGTGATGGCGCAGTGGATAAGACACATGCCTTTGGTGTGAGAGACCCAGGTTCGAATCCACTGTGAGACACCAATGTGTCCCTGAGCAAGACACTTAACCCTTAGTTGCTCCAGAGGTGTGCGACCTCTGACATATATAGCAATTGTAAGTACTTTTGGATAAAAGCGTCAGCTAAATGAATAAATGTAAATGTATAAAAACACACTAACCCTATAAACTTTTAAATAGTAGTGTCTGTAAGATTACTTGAGCAGCTAACTGCTAGGAGAAGCAAAAGAGATATAAAGAGATCTTATTTGTTCTTGTTAATTTCTGTAGGTCGAGCTTATGTTCTTAATCTGAACAGTATTTAACTGGTACATCTGAGATGTTTGAACTGCGAATATCACTGCACACAAATGCAAGCCTTCGCAGACGTCATCACACATCTGAACGTCAGTCTCCGTAAGCTCGAAAGGAATGCACACCGGCAGATTTCCACAGAAAGCTTTACAGATTTCAACTCAAGTCTTATGCTTGGGATAACATTTGAGCTATTTTGATAATGCTACAATCAGCTATAAGTGAAGTACTCACAGCTTTGTTTGACATTTTTGACCATATTTGAATTCATTCTGAACAATTTCCTCCTCAATCAGCTGAAAAAATTAAAAATGAGATGGTGTCTGTATCTACTCACAATGACGTTTATTGAACTTGTGCCTTTATAGAGCGAAATTAGAGAGGGAATCTATTTCTCTAAAGTATTGGGCAGGATTTTCTTGCTCTGAATTTAGGAGTTAACCTGTTGAATTCTGTGGAATTGATCAAAATGTATCAAATCAATCTGACTGAGCCTATGACACTATTATTGGTGGCTGAAAGCAAAAAAACATTTCTTTAAAAAATAATGTCTCTTTGTAAGTACTAAAGTTGTTTTTTGAAAAGCTGCTTCGAAAAATGCATTCAAACAGGTTTAGCTGATGTGTTTTCATTGGATTGATCTCTTTGGAGCTTGGTTTTGGCAGCTGGTCTTAATGACAACAGTGTCGACCTTTGACCCATGAGTCATTATTAATCGCCTCAGGCTGTATCTGGAATCGCTGCTCTGCTATCAGGCAATGACATTGCAGGCAGCCTTTGCTCATGAAGGCATCTTAAGAAAATGATCTTAAGAGTAACGGTTTAAGGATCTTTGGTGATAACTTAGTGAATATTTCATTAGTACAATTGTAATTTCACAATAGAAAAATAATATCAGAAGTGGAAAACATTGATCAAAAACGTAAATTTACACACAAACTTAATACCAACTGCAACTTTCAGACAACATTAAATACATATAAATGTCCATGAATATTGGATTTGGTGAGGTCTATGCAAAGGTTTATTATCGTTAACTAAAACTAAAACTATTTCAAACATTTCTGGTAATAAAAAATAAAGATGAAATAAAATAAAATATAAGCATCAGTCGAAAAACTTAAATTAAGAGAAAATAATAAAATGCTGCCTTAGAAATATACTGAAATAAAAATCCTTAATGTCAAAAAATAAAATGAATTGACTAAAAATGAAACTAAAGTTAGCAGAAATACTAAAAATATAAAAAAAAAAAGCTCATTTCAAATATTAATAAAAAAATAAAAAAATTGAATTCTGTAAAAATGTTTTCTGGAATCAAGTGTGGATCAAATCCAAAGATCAGTGTTTTTTTCTTGTCTTGTGTTTTTATATTCACTGGCATTACTCTGCCCTGCTGTTATATAGCAGAATAAGTCAAGTGACTACACTATACTAAACAGATAAATATGTGCGCTAATAATGCAAACAACCATTTCCTTGCTACATATAAGGAGGAGTGCAGTGCATCTTGAGCAGCTTGCAATAATAACATTTCTGGTGAGCAAGTAGATGTACTTACTGTTAGTGACTCTCGTTTTCTTCCACTGGTTATAAACGTAAAGCCTTGAGTCTCTATGGCCACACCTGTCTTCTGTATGTGCTCCTCCACATACCTGAAAGATAGTTTTATCCCCATTTACATATATTATTTAACCTCTTTAAAAAAAAACTATTTGGCCTAATGCAGTGGTTCTACATTTTTATAATTTCTAGCCGAGCTCTGAAATATTTTATCAGGTAGAATTGGGAGTAAAATGCATTTATAAAATCCTCATCCTTATTAATAATCCTTTTAATATTTTTTTTTGTGGATAATTAAGTCAAAAAGGTAGAGAATCACCATCTTAATGTTGAGACATAACAACAATAAAGGAGAAAAGAAAATGTGATACTCAATCAAAAAAAAAAAAATGTGTCTGTCTGCATAATCACTTTGGGATATAAGGTGTTTTATATGTGAAAGGTGTGATTGATTACCAGTTAATGAAGGAGCTTTTTCCGGCAGAATGGTTTCCCATGATCATAACTATAATCTTTTTCCGAGGAGGTAACAGTCTCACTCCCAAACTCTCTGCCATTTTCACCAATCCTGTCAAAAACATCCATACAAAAAGGGCTTCGTTATCAGTACTTGATAACTTCTCAACAACAATTTAAAGATACAAAGAGGGTAATACTATAATACTTTTCATAGTATTAAATTAAATTACATCTATCTATCTATACAAACACACACATATGTGGGAGTGTTTGATTAATGTGCATACAAACATGCACCTGTATACTGTAAATCGAATACTGTATGGTATATGCCCGTAAAAGACCTTTCAGTTTCGATGAACTTGAAGATCTTGTATAATCACCGATTTGCAAGTACTGTACTATTACTGTACTGTACTATTGACCCATAATCTGCAGTACCCTGACAAGCAGAGACAACTGGTCAACATGACTGTCTCAATACCCGGTGAGCTTTGCCTAAATAACAGTTATCATATTAAGTTCAGACCTGTCAAGGTTGGCAGTTGACAGTTTTTAGATACAGTCTTATGAATGAATGGCACCGTATAAATATAACTAACACCATTACATGTCTCGGACGATGAAGTTTCAAGCTGATACAGTGTTTCATATAGTTTTTGATCTTATCAAAGACAAAACCGCAACATGTGTTTACATACGAATGTGTGCGCGTTATTTACCGTTCTCGTTGTCGATATATAAAGAGTGACATTCTTTTAGTATTCTTTCACTCGGTGTTGTAATGGTTGACTCCAGAGGATTTGCAACAGCTCGTGGCTTCTTAGAGCCTGACATATTGGAAAGTGGGTAGGACTGATTTTCCACGGCAACAAACGCGGGGGAACCAAAACAGTGTAGCACACATATAAGACGTCAGAAATGTAAAGCTTTGGCGCCCTCTAACGGAGAAAATTGAGTTGCGAAATATAATAAGTATTAATATAAAAACAAATATGTAATAGTTTTAACTAGTATTTAAAATAGTTAACTAGTCAGTTAGTTAATAAAATATACATGTTTAATTTATTTTTGTATGTGTTTATTTAAAAAAAAAAAGAATTGAAACGAAATACCATACTAGGCCTACATTAAATAAATTCATACAGGTTTGGAACAAATGTAAATAACAGAATTTTCATTTTTAGGTGAACTATCCCTTTAAGAAATTCTTCAAGTTACTTTCATCGGCAACAATAACTCTTTAACACTTTAGCATATCATTACATTTACCATTACCACAGTAAAGCATGGTTGTTGGGGTATGAGGGATACCTTGAGAGGGATAATAGGCACAATGTAGAAAGAGGACCTTTGGAGCTTCAGGACAGAGTTTAACCTTGTGAACCTGATCAAGCTCTGGAGCACCTTGCATGTGAAATGCGCTGTGTCTCTTTAAAGAGATAGTTCACAGCAAAACATTTTTTTTAAAAATGTCCTAATTTCAACCCCATGTTGTTCCAAACTGATTTCCTTTCTTCTGTTGAACACACACAAAAACGATTTAAATTTGTTTTTTGATAACCAGACAGCTGACGGTACGGTACCCTACCCATTGACTTCCATAGTAGTCACATAGCCTAAGCCTACTATGTAAATCAATGGGTGCCGTCAGCCGTCTGGTTATTACTAACATTCTTTAAAACATCTTATTTTGTATTCAAAAGAAGAAAGGAACTCATAAATGGTTGAAATCATAGATATATAATTAATATATATATATACCATAGATATTATATTATACCATAGATATAATAATTATGTATTTATGAAAATGTATTACGTACATCTGGGTGAGCACGAAGACGTTTTAATTTTGGGGGTAACCTGTCCCTTTAAGAGCGCAGGTAAAGGGTGTGGTCAAACAGCAATTTCAAAGTTTCCGGGAGAGAAACGCAAGTAAACAGCCGGATTGGTTGAAGATGGACATGGCTCAAACGTAACACAAAATACCTGAAGCGAAATTAGAACGGCCACGATTTTATCTTAATAACATTTCTGGTTATTTATTTAAGTCACAGAGAAGCTTTTTATGCGTTTTGCTGCGAAACAAAAGGAAACTCAATCGAATTCGCAAAGGAAAATATGTTATCCCATAACCCGATGGGACATCCAGACAATCCTATAATGACAATTGCTGCAATAATTCTCTATCTGCTTCTTCTGTCACACCAAACAGGTGAGTTGACTGGTACATTTATTCTGTCTTCACTTTTTTAAAGTGAGATATTCTTAGTATTTACATGGCACTGGATTTCCAAAAATACCATAGTGCCTGTCCAAACACCATGGTAGTACCCTAATACTTTTTGATAATTGTTTCTAAGTGACACCATTTCACTTCTAGATCAATTAATGTTTACAAATGCACTGTATTCAGAAAAACAATGGTAAAACCTAGTACTTTTGCTGCATATGTAATGTAAGTGATCACAGTTACTGCTCTAAAGCACATTGTCTGTGTCCTTCTTCCTGTAGTGTCAGAGGAGCAGGTGTATGTTATCGGAGAGAAAGGCGAGAATACCACACTACAGTGTCTTGACCACCCAGTCAATATGTCTTCAGTTCTTTTTCATTGGAAGAAAGATGGAGCTGTTGTTGCAACCCAAAACCCTTCGAATCCATCCGAGCATCTTTCCATTTTAAACAATGGTTCTCTGAGGATCAGTGGCCTTCTGTATATTGATGAAGGCCTGTATACATGTGAATGCCAAACAAGTAATCACAGCAGCTCATGGCAAACTCACTCAAACGTCCAGCTTAAAATTGCCGGTATGGATATCTAAATCATACTAATGTGACAAAGCAAAGCTTTGATATGCAATGGATGTGTCTAGTTTCTGCAAGATAGGGAGTCTGACTTCAAACAGATTTTTCTGGTTTAGCTGCTATGCATGAATCTAGAAAACCACCATGTGACAGATGCGTAGGATAGCCTCCATACATAACAACTACTAACTGAACGCAAGAAGTAATCAGTCTAGTTCCTTTGAGCATTTTAAAGATTACAGAAACACAAAATTACCTCTCAACAGTTTTTTTGAAATAAATTAATACTTTTACCCAGCAAGGAGGCATTAAATTGATCAGAAGTAACCGTAAAGACATTTTTGGGGGTTTTGAAAAAAAAAAAAAAAGAAATAAATTGAATTTTTTTACAGTCCTGAAAAAGCATAACCATTTCCACCGAAATATTAAGCAACACAACTGTTTTCAACCTTGATAATAATAATAACAACCACAAATATCTTTTGAGCAGCAAAATAGGCATGATTTGAAGGAGTAATGATTCTGAAAAAATCAGCTTTGGATCACAGGAATAAATTGCATTTTAAAATATATTAAAATGTAAAACAGTTATTTTAAATATAATAATATTTTTACTAATTTTAAAACTATGCTCATTTGTTATAAGTTCTTCTGTTAATTCTGAAGTCCCAAAGAACATCATCTGATTATGATTTCAATGAGATGTGGTTTGTGAGAGTCAAATGAATTAATATTAATGTTTTTTTTTTTTTTTTTGCATTTGATTTATATTTCAGGTGGTCCAACCAACATATCACTAGACATAAGTCCAGCAACTCTCCTAAAGAATGGAACATTATATGTCAATAAAAGTGCAGATGTGCATTTTTTTTGCTCCAGTGAGTCTTATCCCTCACAAAACTTGACATGGACAGTTGAAAATTTGGCACAGGATAATCCTGACAGGGCGTCTGGGAACAAATCGGCCCTTGAGTTCTCCATAAGCGAAATCCAGCCACAAGATCAAGGGACGTATACCTGTACATCCCAGAATACCCTCTCCATGACAACTGTGAACAAGAGCAAGGAACTCCTCGTTTACTGTATGTTTTAGACATGTATTCTCATAAATGATGCTTTGCAGCAACTCTATTTGCTTCTTTCAGTTTACCTAGAGAATATTTTCAGTACTCTATATATAATTTGTTTGCTTCAATTGTCTGTAATATCTTTTTCAGATGCTCCAGAGAGGCATCCGGAGTGCAGTTGGGAGGTGGGAAATGAACCATCAGATGTCTTGTTCATATGTACCTGGTATGGAGGTTACCCTGTGCCCATTCTGCACTGGCATGAGGTCTATGAAAAATCTGTAATAGCCAAGGGTCCCACGATCAACTTCACGTCCAAGGAGACAGAACGCTTGGAGATTCTTGTGAATAGGCATATATTGCATGATAAAGAGGAAGTGAAGTGTACTGGACTTCATGTAACTGGAGTGGAGAAATCCTGTTCTTTTAACCTCGGTAAGAGCATTTTTTCTAACAGTTCTATAGTGATGAGAATCATTGAATGTATATGGCCCAGATTATATGCAAAAAAAATGGCCCAGATATGTTTACATGAGATTTACCTTCTATACTTAAAGGGTTAGTTCTCTCAGAAATGAAAACATTGTCGTGAATTCCTCGCCCTCATGTCATTCCAAACCCAAAATGTATTTTTAATATAATCTGAATGCTTTCGGTCCCTCCATTGACAGCTACGCAACTTGCATTGACGCTTCAAAATGTTCATAAAGAGATCGTCCAGCAACTTAGTCCAGAGCAACTTAGTCCAGAGTTTCTAAAGAGACTGGATTGCTTTATTTGATGAACAGAATTAATACATGCTTGGCATGACGAGAACAAACCTCATTGGTTCTTGAGAAAGCTCAAACGTGAGAGCTCATATCTTCATTTGGGTTTGTAAGGCCTTTTTTAACTTTTATCAAAGCGTCCTAAAAAAGATATAGTAAAAAAATCATAAATTAAATTTTATAATATATTAAAAATTGAAAACATTCATTTTAAATGTTAATAACATTTTACAATATTGCTGTTTTTACTGTATTTTTGATCAAATAAATGTAGCCTTAGTGAGCAGAAGAAACTCTAAAAAATGGTATTGAACCCTAGTGTACATTGTTCTTATATCAGCCCAGGTATTACTTGAAAGTCAAATTGCATTTTGTTTGAGTGGGCTGGAATAACCAATGGCGTGATGGACTGCATAATTGTAAAAAACAACAACATTAAAGGATTAGTTCACTTTTCAAAAAACTTTTGCTGATAATTTACTCACCCCCATGTCATCCAAGATGTCCATGTCTTTCTTTCTTCAGTCGAAAAGAAATTAAGGTTTTTGATGAAAACATTCCAGCATTTTTCTCCATATAATGGACTTCAATGGGAACCAAACGGTTCAAGGTCCAAAAGAAACTTTCAGTACAAACTGCAAACTGTTCAAAGGGCTTTAAACGATTCCAGACGATGAATAAGGGTCTTATCAAGTGAAACGATCGCTAATTTTTTTTTAAAAAATAACAAAGTTTAAGTTTTATAAGATCAAACGCTCACCTTGCTCTGTTCTGTGTTGCACGTTCGTGACTCTCCTGTTCCAACTCGTTCAACAAAATGAACAAATCTTTTTCCGAATCAATTCGTTCGTTTCTTTCGCCGAATTAACCAAATGACTCGGAAAGAGGTTTGTTCATTTTGATGAACGAGTTCGAACAGGAGTGCGTAATAGGCGAGCGTTTGAGCTTATAAAACTTAAACTTTGTTATTTATTTATAAAACAAGCGATCGTTTCACTTGATAAGACCCTTATTCATCGTCTGGAATCGTTTAAAGCCCTTTGAACAAGTTTGCAGTTTGTACATAAAGTTTCTTTTGGACCTTGAACCGTCTGGTTCCCACTGAAGTCCATTATATGGAATGCTTTCATCAAAAACCTTAATTTCTTTGCAACTGAAGAAAGAAAGACATGGACATCTTGGATGACATGGGGGTGAGTAAATTATCAGCAAAAGTTTTTTCAAAAGTGAACTACTCCTTTAAACCAGTATATGTGTGCAACCCCATTGGATGCCACAAAGGTTTCTTGATCTTTATACTTTCCCAAAATAGTACAGTTTGTGCTTTTGCTTATCCTCTTTTCCACTGCATCTCCAGCTGAATTGAAACCATATATTTGACGTGTGTTCCAGAGATTCCGTTTCCATCAGGAAACCCCCTGGTAACCGCTCTGGAGGGCAGTACCATCACCCTCAGCTGTTCTGAGACCAACGCTCTCCCGCCAGCTAAGACCGTCTGGAAGAAAATGGACGATGTCATCAACAACACCATGAAATATATTGTGTCTGAAAAAATACCCATTTACGAACTCACTATAGTCAATGTAACAAAGGACGATGCAGGGATCTACTACTGCTACAGTGAAAACCCTCTTGGCGCAAGAGAGCTAGAGGTGATTCTTAATGTGAAGAGTAAGTTACAAACTTGAATTTTTCACCATACTTTCACGGTATATATTTTTTTATAGTATTCTAGCATCCTTAAGTATCCTTTTATCATAGTCCAGATTACATTTGAACTAAAATCCAACAGAAAACTGATAATATACTAACCTATTTTTATACGATATAGGAACCTAAATATATGAACGTATTTTTTCGACTTTTAATATTTTTGAATTGTAGCCCCATTGTCATGGCAACCGTATATTTTCCCTCAAATTCCTGATGATTTTTTTTATTTTTATTTTATTCAATTGCCTTTATTCTTTATGGAGATTCTCATAGTAATGAAACACTTCTTTAAAGATGACCTTTATATATAAATATATATATATATAAAATCACTTAATGCAATAATATATAGTGTCTATTCTATATATATATATATATTAGGGATGCACCGATATGACAATTTTGGCCGAAACCGATAACCGATAATTCTTTATATTTGAAAGCCGATAACCGATATTTTGGCCGATAAATCTAAATCCAAATTTTTAGACAACTTTCGATTTTCCTCATTGAAAGCCAAGATACAAACACAATTATGATGTTCTTATTTTAATGTTGTGTAGCCGATATGACACACTTGCGCTGCACATTTTGCACTTTAACTGGATTTTCCTTTTTTAAAGTGATTTTAATCATATTTCAAGCAATTTAAAAGCATCATGTTGAACAGTGCACATCTAAAGTGCCTCAGCTGAAGGAATTAATAGATAATTTATCGACTGTTAGATTTCGGCTAAATGTTCTTATTGGGCCGATAACGATAACATTAAAAATGATCATATATTGGCCGATACCGATAATGTGGCCGATATATCCTGCATCCCTAATATATATATATATATATATATATATATATACAGTATATATACATACATACATACATACATACAAAGTATATATATTATTGCATTAGTTGAACATATCTCATTTGCATTTTGGTACAATTTGGGGGGAAATTACATGAAAATATCGTCATGGTGCCTCTTAATAGTCCTTACAACAGGCTTCATTTTCTATAAGAAATATATAAACGATCCAGACATGTTCTTGCCAGAATTTAAAGCGGATGCATAATGAATTCATTTGTTTAAGAATGAGCTGCATGTTTTACATAATACATCAGAGCTCAGATCCGGAGATACTTCAAATACTTGCAATGCTAAAGCTTTGACACCTGTGCATGAATGTGAACAGACAAGATGTTTCTTGTCCTGTAGTACCTCTCCATTTTCCTCCAAAAGTATCAAATCTTCTCCCTCAAAATTCCCTTTCCTTTTTATGAAAAGTAGTTTCAGACTTTGGACAGTTTGACAGCATTTAATCTGTATTCTCAGCATCTGCAGGTAATGGAGGGGCCGTAGTTGGTGTTTTCATCTCCATTTTGGTAATGATGACGGGAATCGTTGTCGGCGTGACGGTATATTCAAAGCGTGATAGAATTTGCATTGGTAAGTATTTTTCCATACTAAATAAAACTGCTTAAATGAAGATTCTTCATATAAATGTTTTTTTTTTCTTTTATTGTTTTTCAGGTTTAGGATTCAGGTAAGTTTGACCACTGAAAATGACTGCAAAACATTACAGCATTACAGCAAGTTGAGTGGTTTCCCACTTACAGTTTATTGGCAACATTTACAGACTTTCTCTGTTTGCAATGAGCAAATCAAACAAAAGAAATTGAAATCGCTCAACACAACAAATGTTTCAAGCGGCTTCCCCAAATTCAACTGAAAATGCAACTTTTAATTAATTTTAGTAATTTTGTTTGATTGTTGCTAAATTTTGCAAATAAACCTGATTTGCAGTGGGTGTTGAGTAATTTTGATTACAACTGTATAACGTGTCAATAAGGATGTGTAAAGCTTAGGCATTATAATTGTTCTTTTCTAGTCATTTAGATGATGACAGAGGGGATATACTGAGTTTAGTGGACTCGGATGAAGAGGAAATTTTCAGTGATTCTGCTCAACAACTCCCCCCGCTGACGAACGGACATGTGACCACACTCGTAGAGATTCACAGAATTCCATCAAGTAAGTTAATGGCTTTCTGAATATTGTTTGGTAACACTTTACTTGAAGGGGTGTGCATAAGACTAACATGATACCTTCATAACCATGACATGACATATGTCTTGAATATTAAGTAAACTGTCATTAAGTGTCATTTGCTCAGTTATGACATTTTAATGCAAATATGACATTGTTTGAGATGTCTTTGCATATACAAGACATATGTCAATTTGTATTATGAGAAAATTACAATGGTTTTTGACCTTGGATGCATGTAAACCTATCGTAGGAGACCTTGAAAATAGTAAAATTGTCAGAGAGAATATTTTATTCTCAGCTGTAAAATATACCATGTTTGATATTGATGATGAATTGACTTTCTGATTTGCTGAAACAAGTCTATGTTTATTTTATAGTTAGTCATGAAGAGAATGCGGACAGAACCGAACACACCGGTCAAGCTCATCCAGATCAAACCGAAGCAGCGCATCAGTTAGCAGACGGTCAAGGACCACTTTAAATACACAGAAAATTAATTCTTCAAATTGTGAATTGTATTAAATTATTTGTTTGTTTTGTGTGTGTGATATTTTACTTGTATAATATTCTAGCGATCTGTGTAAAGAACTTCAAATTTTAAAGAGGCCCTGTCTTTATTTTCAGTATTAGTTTTTAATACACTGGCTTCAAATAGTGAAATTAAAACTTTTACTACTTTATACTACAGTATGTCAGTGAGCTGTTACAGAATGCTATTGTCAATAAATTGGTTTTGAATGATTGCTTTCCATAAAAATGTATAGGTGAATATGTCTGGGTCATATTTCATGGCAAAATAATGAATAAAAAAAAAATGTAATTATGGGAAGCCTATTTTTTTATTTAGTTTTTTTTAGTTTTTTAACCAATGCTAATATCTTATCAGATTGTACAGTAATGACATCATCCTGCCCGTACCCAGTGATTGTGATTATAAATAATAAAAACAAGCAAATTCTACCATTATGCATAAATACAATTTAAATAATCTCCTTTTTCACATTACAATTTTTCGTATCTACTAAACTGATTCTATTTCAGTAATGCAGGCTATAAAAGAATAGTTACAGGAAACTAGCTTTTACATAACGCTGTATAAAATAACAAGCTTTATACAAAGCAAATGCACACAATTCCAGTGTTGTATTTAAGAACAGGGAGCATTAAACACTCCTTAACCCTTACCCTGAAAATATGCAGTAGACACACCTACTGACTGTAAATTGTGCAGAGTCACGTGGTTCGCCCAGAGTCAAATGAATCCCTGATGGAGGTGAGGCGGCGACGGGTTAGGCGCCTATAATGTGATGATAAGAAGATGTGCACTTTGTTTCGAGATTGTACTGTCAAAGGTAAGGCGATTCACATAATTTAGATGATATTTAAATATAATAATGTTCATTTGCTATATGAGGAGCATGTATTTTTATATTGGTAGGAAAGTAGTTCCGGCTAGCGCGGCTTGTCTTTGTGTGACAGGTCTGTTTTATTGTGACAGAAGCGCATGAGGACGATCTGATCGCGGAGCTGAAACCCACGCTTCCCCCGCGTCTGTACGGCTCTTCCGGCTGCGAGACATGGAGCGTCCGCTTCTCCCCGGACGGGACATATTTTGCCTGGTCGATGGGCTACGGCATAGTCAAACTCCTGCCCTGGCCGCTGACATCCAAAGAGTGCGTGTGGATTTATTACATAACACCTTGAGTGGGCCTAGTAATCATTTTATAGTCCTACATAAACACCATAATAAATCACTACTATGATGCTAATATATCCATCAAAACATTTTCGTTCCTTTTTTTATTTTCATTTAGTATAACATTAACACTTTACAAAGGTTCATAACATTAGTTAATGTATTAACTAACAATGAGCAATACATTTGTTATGTTTATTAATCCTTGTCAATAAAAATACAGCTGTAACGTTACATTGTTTGTTCATGTTAGTTCACACAGTGCATTAGCTAATGTTAACAAATACAACCTTTTAATAACGTAGCCTAAACGTTTAAATCAATATAGACTAAGATTAATAAAGGTGGAATAAGTTTTGTTTATTGTTAGGTTAACTAATGTTAAGTATGGACCTTATTATAAAGTGTTACTGGTTTAACTAGATGTATAAAAAAAACTGAAGCAAAAATGAGTAAAAAAAAAACTAAATAGGTATTATTATATATATATATATATATATATATATAATTTTGTTCTTCATTTTATCAATATTATATTAATAATATCATATTAATATATATATATATATATATATATATATATATATATAAATAAAAAGTACTTTAAAATAATAGTTAAAACTAAATAGTAGATTAATGATATTAAAATAACTGATGTGAATAGTAATCATACATGCCTTGATATTTATTTTGTTTATCGCGTATTTATATAAATTAATTGACAATTCTATTTTATGTATCATTTATTTTATTTATTGACAATACAGTCCTTATAACAAATACCACATTATTAATTCCAGATTACCATAGTCTTTACAAAAAAAAGTACCATGATATAATTATATAATGGCATTCTTTGCCACATGGTACATAAATATACTAACACAGTTCCATGGTATACAGTATATCACAGCTCTAGTGGTTGCACTTTATTTTACAGTATGTGCACCTTTAATGTACTTACAGTGAGTGTACTTACCTACAAATGTACTGATTAATTTAATAAAGGTAACTACTTGGGTTAAGTTAAGGTTTACGGGTAGTACCTAGTTATATTACCCAAAAAGTGTCAATACTACAATAAGTACATGCATAGTATGTTCATGTGTATCTACTGCTCTATCAAGAGGACAGGATAATGTGGAAGACTGTTCCAAGAACGGATGCTGATTCAGAACATCTACTTCGATGTAACTTCTTGTCTGTATGAACAGGTGTGCTGAGGCTGGATGCAGTGAAGAGAAGACGCTGAACTGCGGGCAGATGGTGTGGGCACTGGCGTTTGGACCCTGCCGGTCTATCCGCGCGGATGTTTTACATCAGAACGCATGTGACCATGAACTACTGCTGGCTACTGGTCTGAACAACAGCACGATCCAAGTGTGGGTCGTCTCAACTGGTAAGATTAAAGTCATCAAGAGCATCAAGAGCTTACATTGATCTGAATATTAACAAGATGGTGGATGTAGTATAAGATTTGAATATGTTAGTAAATCCCTGTTCTGTCTTCAGGGAACCTGCGTTTTACTCTTACCGGACATGAGGCTCCTGTCAGGGATTTGGTCTTCGCTCCAAACGGAAGTCTTACACTTGTATCGGCCTCCCGGGACAAAACATTAAGGATATGGAACTTGGCAAAGAAAGGTTAGAGCATCTGATGTGGAAGAAACTTCTTAGCAAAAAAAAAAAAAGCTTTCTTGGTCTTTAATTCTGCACAAGCATCAATTAGATAATTATCCTTTTTGCAAGACATTTTTTTATAGTATCTAAACATTGCGTCTCCCAGAAATATGTACTTGGTGAAAAGACGTTCACCTCCCAGCAACACACAGCAGTGATTTGTTCTTGAAGCATACACTGTTTTTGAACGAATCGAGTCAGTTGATGATTCAATGACCCATTCGTAAAGGCAGTGGAAACTTGCTTCTTTCATGAATTAATTAGATGCTTTGAATGAATCGGTTAAATGAATGATTCTGTGATTAAAACGTCTGTGCACGACCCTGATTATATGGTTGATATTTGCAGGCTCCAGTCCCCATGTGCTGCGGGGTCCAAACTACTGGGTGTTCAGATGCTCCATGTCACCTGACTGCAGTGCGATCGCCTCGGTTTGCAACCTCGACTCTGTGAGTTTTTTTAGTGCACTACAGTGTTATTTTAGTAGTATTAGATACTTTTTTTTTTTTATTTTGAGTTTTTACATTTATATATACAGTATATATATAGTTTTACTTTTTATATTTTGTTTTATTTTTATATTTTCAGTTTTCATTTTAGTAATTTTGCTTTTATTTTTCAATTATATATCAATTTTTTAATACATATTTCTATTTAGCTTTTTTCAGTTTTAGTCAGTTTAATACGTAAAAAAAAGAAAATAACAGTTAGTTGCCAACCCTTCAAAAATGTTGATATTTTTAAGCTTAAGTCTGTTTGTGTGTGATTATATATATATATATATATACTACATTGTCTGCATGTCTTCTTCACAACAGAAGGTGTATTTGTGGAGCTTGCGGTCCTACACCTTCATGAGACACCTTACATACGACCACGAGCGTACCATGGCGTCATGTGACTTCTCCCAGGATGGAGCGCTGCTTGCGGTCGCTTCGTATCATTCCACCACAGGCTGGTGGCTGGACCTGTGGGACCCGTACACGGCAGATCTCCTGACTAGAGTAGAGTATGTGGACAAACCAGTCATTTCTTTTTTACAATAATGAACATTAATTTTAAAAAAGGTTTTTTTTCTAATTTTTTAAAGAAAATTTGGTTTTGGGCTGTTTAATATTTTCTATATTTTTGTATCCATAATATGGATCTGGTTTCCGCCACCGAATAATTTTTTTTGAAAGTTTATAGCAACTTTTTTGAGTCTTCTTTTTCTTATAATTGCACGTTTATATCACAATTTGGACTTTAGAACTCACAATTGCAAGTTTTTATAAAAGTAAAACATTTCTCCAATTTTTGGAGCCAAAAAGTTCCAGAAAGTGTCAGCACAAACATCTACTTTTACGCTGCACAGAAGAGAGAAAATAAAACTGTTTTAGAGCTATTATTTGTAACCATATTGAAGCTTGTTTCCGCCATGCAATAAAAATATATTAAAAAGGGAATGTAAAAGGTGAGGGTTTTAATCGGACAATTCTGACTTTTTCCCTCTCAATTGCGAATATAACTCAAGTTGGACTTTTTTCCCCTCAGAATTGAGAGTTTTGCCATGCAGACATAGAGATATTATAACTTACAAATTTAGTTTTTACACAATTCTGAGGGGGGTTAAATCAGAAATATATAAAAAAAAACTCTCACAATTGTGAAATTTTTTATTTTTGAATTGCGAGATATTAACTTGGATTAGCAGGAAAAAAAGTCATAATTGTGAGATGCGAGTTTGTGATTGCGAAATAATTTTATTCTATGGTGGAAACTAGGCTACTGTTACATTAAAAACTGAATGATTTTATGTTTTTGAATATGTAGACAAAGACAGTATTGTTTCTCATAATGATGTAAAAATACTTTGTTCTCTTTCCAGAGACTGTGGGGTGTGTGCTTACAGAAGTGACAATTTACTGACATCTCTGAATTTCTCTCCGGTTAGCCTGCAGTTGGCTTTCAAAGACTACAGGTGAGCAGAGAACCATCCGACATTCTTGCGACCTCGCACCCGGCCGTCCACTTTCAGCATTGTTATCGGTGACACTGTATTGTCCTGCAGGGCGTTACAGATCTGGGACGTGGAACGAGATAAACTGGTCACCAACACCGATCACAGTCGCGCTGGTGGTGTGTGCTCCGCTTTCCATCCACACGGGGGCATCATTGCCACAGGGTAATGTAGTTCACACAAATGTGTTGGAGTCATTTATATTTAATTAATGTTTACTCATGAAACGTTTGGGGTTGGAATAAAAGGGCTTGTATACTGGAACTTAACATACGCCGCATTTGTTTGTAGGTGCAGAGACGGACAAGTCAAATTCTGGAGAGTTCCTCAGCTTGTTCCAAGCCTTAAGCATCTGTGCCGGGTTGCCCTGAGATTCTCTGTTTCAACCTATCAGGTGGAGGCTCTTCCTTTGCCCAAAAAAATCCTGGAATACCTTACATATAGGGACATTCCAAAGCAAAAGATCATATATTGTAAAGAACACTGCAGTTGACTGAAAACAAGAAAGGTTTGTGGGTCAAACTTTGCTTTAGATGTTGCAATGCCTCATTTAATTTCCCCAGACTCAAATCAAGAGACATAAAATGATGATGCTATACTTGGATATTTATTTAAAGACTTTTATATTTTACTTTACTACTGTGAAAATGTAGCATTTGTTTTTTACAAAGAACTGAAAATAAACATTTAAAAAAAAATATTACAGGGCTCTGAGCAGTTTTTACATTGTTGGTAAAGTAAAGTAAAAAGAAGTAGTAGTAAAAACGTCCTCTCATGACATCAAAACCCTGTCATGTGACAAGTGTGAACCAATAGTCTATCCGTCGCTGACTACTATGTCTCTAACAGCCTGGAAAGCAGCTACCATTGAGCTCAGCTGGATCTTCTCATTGGTTCCCGAGGACAGACGATACCTTGTGGTTTAAAAGGAAAGAACGGAAATTAAGCTCATAATGTACAAAAACACAGTAATAATATGAAAAATTGAATTTAAAAATATCTGTTTTCTATTTTAAAATGTAATTTATTCCTGTGATCAAAGCTCAGCATCATTACTCCACTCTTGATCCTTCAGAAATCATTCGTTGAAATGTTGAAAATATTTTTAATATATATAATATATAATTTAATATATATAATATAAAATATGATATATTTTAATATATATTTAATTTATAATATTTTTTTTTAATATTTTTTATAACATATGATACTTTTTTCAGTATTCTCTGAAATAAAAAGTAAAAAAAAAGGAACAGTATTTATTTAGAATAAAAGTCTTTGTAACAATATACACTACCGTTGAAAGGTTTGGGGTTAGTCCTTTTTATTCTTTCTTTTTTTGAAAGAAATGAATACTTTAATTCAGCAAGGATGTGTGATAGATAAGAAAAGATTTATATTTGTATTAAATGCAGTTCTTTTTAACTTTTAATTCATTAATGAATCCTCGAAAAAAATATCACAGGTTCCAAAAAAATATATAATAATCAAATCAGCATATTAGAATGATTTCCGAAGGATAATGTGACAGTAATGATGCTGAAAATTCAGAAATTAATTATATTTTAAAACATATTCAAATAGAAAACCATTATTTTAAATTGTAATATTTCACAATATTACTGTTTCTACTGTATTTTTAATCAAATCAATGCAGTTTTGATGAGCACAAGAGACTTCTTTCAGGTTTAAACTTGATCTCGCTTCACTGATTTACTAAACAACTTGAAAAAAAAAAAAAGAATGTACTCACTCAATATCTGCAAGTTTAATAAGCAAACCCATACGGATAGAGGGAGGGAAGTCCACTGAAATAGAGACACAAAAACATTAGAGCAAAATAACCCACCAAACTGTCCGATCAGTAAAAATTACAAATAAACCTACAGAAACTCTCGATAAATATATTGATATACAGTTGTGATATACTAATCTTGATTCTGAATATAGCTTAATATGTAGTGTGTTCTGTGTGTGTGAAGCATGCTACACTCTGCTACTTATAACAGGCGTCCTTTAAAAACAAGAACAACCGGTTTCCATGACAACCACAAAAGGATCTCCATGGCAGCGAGGGAAAACATCAAGCTCATCATCACTACAGCAGAGTTTACTACTAGACTCTGTGCTGCTGCTGCTGCTTTAGTTCGTTTACAGTGTGGTCTTACCACGGTGAATGAGAAGATGAACCTCAGTGAGAATGTCATTAAGTGCCAGACCTTTCAGAGTTTTGAGCTGCATAATTTCTGTTGAACCTGGTTAAGGACTTTTGAAACGTCATAAACTACAGTGCTTAGCATAAGTGAACACACCCATGCTAAAGTTGACTAAAAAGAGGAATTCCTTAAAAGACACATGCATCCTGTCTTTTAAGGACGAACATTTATTTCTGATACATTATTCATTCACAAAAGAAATTGTTTTTGAAACTTTTTTTTTCAATTAAGGCATTAAGATCAATATCCAAAAGATGATTTTTTTATTCATCTTTTTAGTCAACATTAGCATGGGTGTGTACACTTAAATCAGCAAGTTCTCATCACAATGGTATTCTCATAAATATCCTTAATAAAATAATGGTTTTATTATAAATATCGCTATCAAAAACATTTGCTTCTATAGTAATATACAAATTTGATGTTTGATCAGTGATATTACATGTACAGACCACAAACCTAACAGATACTATATGGAGCATAAACTATGTTTGTGGTCATTTTCCTAGTATGGATTTTATGTTAATTTGTAAATGTGTATATTTTAATGTAAATTTTACTTATTAATTATTATTTTTATGTATAGTTTAGTTACTTTGGTGGAAAGGGTATATGTGAGGAAAATACAATTACAAAATTATTATTTGGGCTCTTTGTTAATGCTTTGAAAACGATTTTAAATTTTAAATATATATTAAGATGAATAAACAAATCTAAATTATTATCATTAATAATTATAGAATTCATTTTTTGTGATAAATGTAATTCAAATTTATTTTAATTTTATTTCCTTTTTATTTAAAGCAGGTGCCTTTATCAAAAGCAAAATGGTGACTTTTTTACCTGATAACATTTCTTATCCTCTCTCCTATCTTATCGATAAAAAGTCAGAAAAGGAGAGAGAAAGATAATCTTAATGAATCTTATTGGCTTAATGAAGTCTGCATAAATAAATCTCCAACGGGACTGTTTAAAAAAAATAATAATAATAATAAAATGTTTGAAATCAAGAATAATATAAAATACGTAAAATATTTTTTAGTAATTTATATATATATATATATATAATGGAAATTAAGAATAATATATATATATATATATATATAAAATTTGTGTGTGCTGTGTATAATTATTTTGTATATAAATACATATGCATTCATGTATATATTTAAGAATTATTTGCACATAAATACTGCGTATATATAAATACATAATCTATATTATATATATATAAATATTTTATATATGAATAACACATCATATATACATGCATGTGTGTGTATATATATATATATATACAAAATAATTATACACAGCACACACAAATATATTATGTAAACACAAACTTTTATTTTGATTAATCGCAATATAATCGCAATATTATTATTAATCGAAACTTTTATTTCGATTAATCGCAACTAATCTTTGCGAATCCCTAATATGTACAGTATATAATAAAATAAAAATTGATTTTTATCAAGAACAGATGTTATTGCATTTTAAAACCTAAAATAAAACATCCAGTCAAAACTGAGATTAAACTTTCTTAATATTGTCTCAAAAAAAAAAAAAAAGAATAATTATAAAATAAACAACATGAAACTAAAATGAAATTTAATAATAAATAGATCTTATTCAAGTAGAGATAAGAAATGTTATTGGGTAAAAGAAAGTCACCACTCGCTTTAGATCAGCAATAAAAAAAGTGCCAAAGAGACCACATTTTTTTTACTCATGTTTTAAGAAAAGACAGGTAATATGCTACAGAAAAGCTTATTAAGGAACCACTGTAGTAAAAAGGATACGGTTGTACGCAGTGGTGAAGTCTTTATTGAGGGCCCAGTCCAGTATGTTGGCGATGTCTGATCTAAGAGGATGTCCAGTGCATGTGTACACCGTCTCCTCCGTCACCTTCCCATAGGCCATATGGGTACTCTACACATCGAAACATACAGAACACATTTTACTCAAGAAATTCTTCATGCCAGCAGCAATCCAAATGATAAGAAAACCACAAAATACACACGATACACACCTGTAAAATGTTTAGTGATCGTCTCATGTCTCCTGTTGAGAGCGTCACAATGGCCTTCATGCCATCTGGAGTGATGTCAATGCTATCAGAGAAAAACAGATTTTGAAATATCTATGAATCAATGCTAGGGAAGCACAATGTTCGGTTTTATCAGCGTTGTCCTGCGTAAAACGTGTGTTTGTGTGTGAAGAGTTTTTTAATCAAATGGGCCGTAGGGCTGGGTCACTTCAGCCAGGAAGTGTTCAATGTATTGTGTTTTGTGCTCAGGGTCTTTTGAGTGGATCCATCTGATGATGCAATTCTGATAAAAACACTAGAAGGTATTGTCATATTGTCATTTCAATGTTGCTCTATCTACAGATGTCTTGCTTCTAATTACATAAAAATATAAACAACTAGACTTTTGCATTTTCTGAAGAAAATGTGAGTGAAGATTTCCTCAGAATGCAATAAATTCACCATTAAATTGAATTCCTAAATAACATCCACTTGACCTGGATTTGATGTGATGAGCATCTCACCTCTCCTGCTGGATCACATGCTCTAGTCTGGGGATCATCTGGCTCTGGGACAGGGGGCCGAAACGAAAGCGGGTGCATCGAGACTGTAGAGCAGGTATGATCTTTGAAAGGTAGTTACAGATCAGACAGAAACGTGTGTTCTCTGTGAACTTCTCAATGACTGAGAGAGAGAGAGAGAGAGAGAGAGAGAGAGAGAGAGAGAGAAAATCAGGTGTGGCTCAATGAAGTCTACACAAATAAATCTCCAAAGGGACTGCAAAAATAAAATTAAAAAGATGGCCTGGTTTCACAGACAGGGTTTAGATTAAGCCAGGATTAGGCCTCAGTTTAATTAGGACATTTAAGTAACTTTTACTTAAAGTAACATTTAAGTAACATTTAAGTAACAACATTTTTTGTGGCCTTTGGCTTGCTCAGTTGGGGAAATTCAAATTAAATGACCCATCACACCATTGATCAGCTCTACCAAACTTGATTGTCTTTTCATGAATAAACAAACACTGTTATGTTGTCTTGATTGATACTGTGAAGCAGCTTTGATACAGTCTGTATTGAGAAAAGCGCTATAAATATATTTGACTTGACTTGACAAAATAATGGCACTGACATATTTTAAGAAATGTTTTTATCAGAGGATATTCTAAGATATGTAAGTTGCTTTCAGTTAAAACAGCTCAAACATGCAGTTTAGTCTGGGACTAGTCTTAAACTCTGTCTGTGAAACTGGGCAAAACTAGTCTTGCATTTTAAAACCTATAAAAAAAGTTTATAAAAATGTACAAGTTATATATATATTAATCACACCGCTCTCATTCATGTCTCAAAATAAAACACAAATTATTAGGCCTTTTTAAAAAAATATCTAAAATGAAGAATAATATAAATAATTAATTTAATAATATTTAAAATCAACAGCATTAAATTAAACTAATAAAAAATGTATCTTAATCTACTAAGATATTCACAACAGACATTCATACATATAAAACATTATTTTTTTAAATAAAATCAGCATTGTAAAAATGTATCTTAAACTCTAAATATTGTGTTCCAACCAGAATTCTCATTCAGGTCACAGAATAAAATAAAATATATATGTTTTAATAATAAAAATATTTTAAATTAATTATATATATATATAATTTGTATGTATATACACACACATATACATACAAATTATATATATATATATATATATACACACACACACACACACACACACACACTTAGATATCCACAACAGAATTTTTTACAGGATCTAAAGCGTTAGACACATCCAAATGCTTTGTCCAATTGAACCTTAAACTATCTAAATATTTTTTCCAATCATAATCCCACTGCTCTCATTCATCTCTCACTGTGGACAGTGAAACGGCAGATCCCTATTCTTCTGCCATCGGGCCATTTGGGGGCTCAGCAGGTGAGCTGATGGAGTGGCAGATGGTACGCTACCTCTCCTCAAAGCATTCTGTGCGTCCTGGGTCATAGCATCCGCCTCGTCCAGGATCACCAACTTACAGCCTTTCCTGCAAGCAACAAACACAAAGAATGATCAGTTCTTTTACAACAACAGTAAATATTTTAATGCAATAAAAGCCAGAAGACCAGCAATTTGGAAACTTGCAACATGAAAATTAAATTCTTATATTGTTGTGCGTGATGAGATTATCATATTCTACAAGTTGTTCATGAATGAGCTGTAAGGGTCGGTACAGTTCTTACTTGAAGATGGTTCGTGTGCTTGCAAAGCTGAGGATCGGCCCCCTCACCACGTCTATGCCACGGTCATCTGATGCATTGAGCTGATGAAGTCAAATGTGTTATAGTTCCCATAAAAAAAAGATTTGCAACAAGCATATTTAGCCTTAAACAAAAAGTTCACCCAAAAATTTAGTTCACTTATGTTGTTCCAAACTTCCTTTCTTCTGTTGAATACAAAATAAGATACTTTGAAGAATGTTGACGGTAGATATTGACTTAAATCTCTTAAAAGCCCATTCACACCAAAAAGGATAACTATATACATGGTAAATGGTAAGGACCATTACGATAACTATATTAGTGTCATACCCACTAAAGATAAGTTCTTTTAGTCCGAGTTCTTTTATTTATGAAGCACATTTAAAAACAGCCACAAGTCCTTGTTGGAGCCATTTAAGTTTGAATCTTTTTTAATGTAACTTAATTGTTGACTTAAACTATGATTTAATGTGTTTTTGATGAATTTAAAGGAGATGACTTTTATTTTGTAAGGAAGTGGGCAGATTGGAATCAGGTGTGAAGGTGGAGAGAGCACACAGCTTTCAACCACACATAAGCCGTTTCTCAATACCAAGTACGCAAACTTCGGTTCTTCTGCAAATGGAACAGAGCGTACTTGATCGTGTCACTCAGGCTACTCCGGTTATTTCTTTATGTATATTTTAGGCAACAATAAAACGAAATATGTTATATGTTAAGAATGGTTTGACCTAAAAATATAAAAATTTTAAATATATCTTGAATGCCCTTGAGGTAAGCAAAAACATATATCAAAAATTAATTTCAAAGTGAACTATCCCTTTAATAGTATGATACAAATGAATACTAAACTGTCATCATAAATTGATGTCTGACTAAAAGAACATCAGAAAAAACTAACAATAGACCTTTTTCCAACTAAATTAAATGGATGATGATATGTTTTTTGTCATTTCGGCAAACATGTGCATTTGGATAACATCTGTAAAATAAAAAAACTTCTACAGTACCTCCAGAACCATGGAGTTGAACTCTTTTTCTTTGTACAGCTGTTTAGCACATGCTAGTATAGTCGAGGTCTTTCCTGTTCCTGGAGGTCCATAGAAGAGCAGATGAGGCAGTCGGTCTTCACTGATGAACTTCTGTACTGTGGAAAAGAAATGAACGTAGACATTTATTAAAATTACATTTCAATAAAAAATGTTCAACAATGTACTGGATGTCCTAGTTTTGTGAACGAAACAAACTGAAATTGAACGCAGATATTGTAAAGTAGTATTACAGTGAAAATCTTTATTTGAAATAGTAATGATAATAATGGCAGAGTGCAAATTACAATCCATACATATCACTGCTTACTTGTGCTCAGGATATCTTGGTGAGAGATGAGATCATCTAATGTTTGTGGCCTGTACTTTTCAACCCTGAAAATCGAAAAATAATATTTTTAATAATGTTTCATCATGTTGTTTAAGTGAAAGCAACTCCAATGGAATTCTCTTACCTTTTCAAAATGAACCATAGATAATGATAATAGCTAACTTATAATTACAGTTAGATATTATTAATAAAGAACTTATTTCAGATATTTAACGTTAGCTTGTTTTGCAGTGAATTGACAGATTCCCTTGAGTAGTCATTGCTTTTCTCCATCAGTTATAATGTCAGCTGTCATACCAAAAACCTGATTTATTCTCAACTATTGAGTTTAAATTATTATTCATAAATTCATCATGGACATGTGCAGAATATGTAAACAAAGCAAACCTGTGCAATGGCGCATATCTCGGCTAAACAATATCTCAAGGAGCATTGACACCTTTTATTTATAATTATCAGCTGATAACAAAAGAGCGAAATTTGTACTACCAAATGCAAATTAAATTACCATGGTAAATTTCTCATCTGCTGCAGTGCTTTACTTGTTGATGCCATTCCCTTGTATTTTTCTCAATCACCCCTTCAATGTGTCTTTGGCGCGTTTTTCCGACTATTCGGAGATTTCCATCCGCGAGCGTCACTTGCCGACAGTCTGTTGACCAATCAGAAGCGCGGTTTAAATGAAGGCGGGATTTAACCAGGAACTGGCTTGCTGTTATTTCATAATAAGAGTTTAGGAGATAATCAAAGTCATCATTAGTTAATATTAGCTGGTTCTGCGATGTAAATGGTCAACTTCTTAACGCATCATGTTTATAGGCTACACATTGTATTCCCTAATACGATATTGCAGCAGTTATTGTGAGTAGGTTAGGCTATTTAAGGCTTCTCACAAACTGAAAAAGCACATTAAGCTTTTTTTTCAGGTTTAATTTTTATTCATTTCTGGTCATTTGAGTCAAGTCAAGTTTGGTTTACAGTCTGATACAGTGGTAAGAAATGTAATTTTGCTAGGCCCACAGTGTAAATTAAAATTAATAAATAAAAAAAGGTTAAATAGTGATAGAATAATTTTAAACAAATCAAGCAATACTTGGTAAATCAGTAGCCTATTTAAGTTAAAGGCAACATAATACGTTTTTTTGCAACCTGAACAAATAATAACACACACGTTGTGTTGTCATGTAGGCATTATGATTTTTATACATTCCATCACAGAAAACTTTCTGCATTTTTACATTTTCAAAAAAACATCACTATATATGATTTATAAGCTGTTTCCTCAGGACCAAAAAAAATGTCACAACAAGTATTTTGATATTGCCATCTTTGTGGAACATTTTGTCACCATAATAGGGTATACATGAACCACAAACACACACACCGACTGCAATTCGTGGTCATTATAACCTTCTATATGCAAAATCAATTTTCACTTTAGCTTGGTCAGTTTATTAGACCAGTCAGTGCAAATCAGCTAAAACCAGCAAACCACTGGTCAAACCTGTTTTTTTTTTTTTTTTTTTTTTTTTTTTTTTTTAAACAACGAAACTTTAATATAGCCTACTGTAAAAAGTGAGCCTGTAGGCTATTTTTTTTTACTGTAAAGTACACTTAAGGGGGCATACTGCCCTAATGTAGGCTACTTCCAAGTGTACTTTGTTTATCCAAGTGTATTTCCAATGCAAGTGACAGGCAGTTAAACTATAGGCTACTTTTATATAAAAAAAATGACCATATAAAACAGTGGTTTGATGGGAAAAGGTTCTCCGAGTTCAAACAGTGAGCTCACTGCATTGATGCTTATCTCGCGAGAACTCTCTCCCCTGCTTGTGTCGGCGGTGCGATGCTGCTGATGCTGTTGCTGTGAATTTGATTGACGCGAACATGTCGGTGTGATGGGGGAGCGCCGGGATGCAGCCGATGATGCTCCAGAAGGGGAATACATGCAGTCAAATCAGACGTTATCGTTAAGAAAGATCACCAATCGTTCTCCTTTATCATCAATGACAAAGATGTCTCAATTTGTGTTGCATTTAACCAGCGCGCAATGGATCTAGCTGATGCCACCGAAGCGAGGATCTGATTTTTATTTTTTCCTTCTTTCCTTCAGTGTATGTGTATCATGGTAGAGTCAAGCTGGAGCATCAAACATAAACTGTGCAACCCTGATGACAACACCGTCAGGATATCAGGATATCAACAATGGAATCGCCTTACACGTAGAGTCTAGTTTTTCATGATCACACCATTAAACGCACTATCTAAAGTGTTTTCTGATCTGATTGAGCGAAAAAAAGTAGCCTGCACATAAGAAAAGGACCACTGCTCACAAATTATGGACGAGGAGAATATGACCAAAAGCGACGAGCATCATCTGAGTTTGCAAAAAGCCTTGCAGCAGTGCGAACTGGTGCAAAACATGATTGACATTAGTATCTCCAGTTTGGAAGGTCTGAGGACCAAATGTGCCACATCCAACGACTTGACACAAAAAGAAATCCGAACGCTGGAGGTAAGCAAGCATCCATTTGCCTGAGCCCAAATGTGAATTTTTTTAACCCCCCCCCCCCCCCCCCCATTTCTACAAATGTCACGAGAGCGTATGTGTGCGCGGGTGCATGATGCACATTAAACAATTTTTAATCTTTAAATGTGTTTAAATTAAAGTTGAATCTCGGGGATTGACTGTATAGTGGCGTGACAAATGAAGAAGCTCGCGCTGCAGTGAGAGGCGCGAGCTTGCGCATTCTGCAGGTGGTGAAGAAGGTGGTTCGTGCGCTCGCGCTGCTAACATGGACACCGAAAGGGGCCTATTGTTGACATTAATTTATATAATCGTTTTTTAAATCATCCGCGTCATCATAACATTCGTACTTTCAATATAAACATTGCATTGTTTTAAATTATGTTATGTAACAAGAGTTAATGTCCCAAATATTTTCTTCATGATGGCAGTGTAGGCTACTAGTGGTCGACCAAATTTTTTTTTTTTTTTTCCCCAAAGACTCGATATCTAGATCAGGGTGTCCGATAAATAAGCAAATTAGACTTGGGGGAGAGCGAAAAAACATGTTGTTTAAATGCCTTTAACTGTTCTTTTTTTCTCTTTATGTCACGTGTCTGAAACTTAGCAATGGGTATCGTGGGTTTGCGATTTTTTTAACGATTTCCGGTTAGCCATTGATTCGGTTTCATGCTGACTTAAAGGGATAGTTCACCTTAAAATGTAATTCTAATTACACACCCTCATGTCGTTCTAAACTCGTAAGACAAGACAAGTTCATCTTCGGAACACAAATTAAGATATTTTTGATGAAATTTGAGAGCTTTCTGTCCCTCCGCTGACAAAACTACCACTTTGACGCTTCAGAAAGGTCATAAAGAGATTGTAAAACTAATCCATATGAATAGCTAGAGTGGTTTAGTCCAAATTTATCTAAAGACTCTCTTTATATGATGAACATATTGAATTTAGGATTTTATTCACATTTCAACATTTATCATCAAACATAAACAGAAGCTCAACTGAACCTACTTGAGCCGAGAACAAACAAAGCTCATGATAAGTAACACTCAAGGATTAATCACATTGGTTCTTGCACGTCAAGCAAACATGTTTTCATCAACTGATGTGTGAGTTGATGAATGTTTAGTCCTATATGAGAATAAAAGCGTTCATTTGTGTGCGTCTCTCAAACAGGGCTGGGAAACAGCGAAATGAATTGTTGTTTTTGTGCACTTCAATGGTTTAAAATCACTTGATTTTAAACTGCAATACTTTAAAACGCATGCTAACGCTAAGCTTTTGCTAATGAGTGTAACTTCAATAGAAAGGATAGTCCAAAATTTTTACCGGATTAATGGTGTCTACTGTCTACTGGTATATAGTCCACCCCTATATAGGATATATTACGCTGTAGCCACATTGGACCAGCAGTTTGGAAAATGGATGGATGGACGATTCAGCTGCGGACACCATCTTCTGCATGGCGAGAAGCGGGAATTCATTCGGCACGACCGTCACAGTGCATTATGGGTATTCTCTAGCTGTTGAGTGTACATGAGTTATTGGTATTGAATGAGTGCACTCGTGCAACGTTCACTGTGGTTTTGGACACCACAAAAATAGTGCCCTTTTTTAAGGGTATACGGGGTAATTTTCGAACACAACCCATGTATTTGATTCACTACTGTATAAAGAACTGGTTCTTAAGATACATTTTTTCATTAATCTTCTCCGACTACATTGGCTGCGCAATATGTTTCTGATTTAAACTTCTAGAGTAATGCATTTATGAATCGGATTACAGGTTACGCTCAATATTTTTGTTGTTGGCTTTTCAGCAAAATGTAAACAATAAATCAATTAAACAGCAAAAATGTTGCCTATAGGAAAAAAAATCAGACGACGGTTTTGAGAGATATTAACACATTTTTTTAAAACACCAGTTTTGAATAAGGTGCTTGAAATCAACATTCAAAACCACTGCTAGAGAAAACAGTTGTGCAACTGGACTTGTAACTTGAAACCTTATAGTTACAGAGAAATAGTCCTTGTGACAACTTGTTTGACACATAGCCTAGAGCACCTGTTTGAATTTCACACTAAACCACATCCAACGGCAATTCTGTGTGATTTGTGGCACAGCTTTCCTCCCAGCAGTCAGTTGTTTGTCTTCTATTGCTCTGTTTCAGTGTGTTTAGGCTTCAAATACTTCTTTACATTTGACTGGGTCTTCTTAGATGTAAGAGTCTGAAAATTGATCCCTGTGTATGGGCTTGATGTGTAGGCCATACATTATAGGCTACATATGACACTTACTATCTTGGCTATAGTCAGTCAGTTGTCTTTTATGATCTAGTATTGTTTTATTTTGCGATTTAGGTTTGTGTTTTTTGTGTATGATTATACTTTTAAACATGATTATGTGCTTTTGCATGCTTGCTGGCATTGCATTGATCCTTTTTTTACTCCACCAAATAGTCTGCTTTTCAACAGCTCCAGTATATTTGTGGTCTGTTCACTTGACGTGGGGAAACCCATTTTCCCGTTGGCTGTTGATTGAAGCCGTCACTAGTGTCAGCATGTCACAATGAAGCACTTTGTTTGTTCATGTTGATGGAATAATAATTACAAACATTAGATATTATATGGGGGTTCTTGCTTGTTTACCTGGTGATGGACGTGCATTAGCATCCTCAATTTACCAGCCACCAGTAATGCTCAAAGTGTAATGCCATTTGGTTACATCGATACAGTGACTCTTTAACTGTACATGCTCATCCAGAAATAATAATAATAAAAAAAAACTCGGGTTTAAAGGTTCGGTAAAGGATTTCTGAGAAAGACTAATGAAATCGGATTTGATCGAGTACCACAACACACTTGTAGCCAATCAGCAGTAGGGGGGCGTGTCCACTCTTGATAGGGTAGGAGAGATAGTGAGCAAGAGGGAGATTTGAAGAAAGACTGTAGAAAGAGAGATGGCTAAGAGACATTACAAAAGAGAAAAAGTCAAAAGAATCAGGTGTCCTTCAGGCTTAAATGCAGACAGCACCTAAGGGGTGCTTCACTCCAGGGATACTTCACCTCTGGAAAGATGAATGTGTATTTAAAATGGGTCATTTATGTAGAAGAAAAATTAAATGAAATTATTTTGGAATTTTTAAATTCTAAAATAGAAAATATATTTTTGGCTAATAGATGAAAGACAACAATTCCCAAAATGCACTTGCTTCACTGCCCTAGGAGGCCACGCCTACCGGTAACAGAGCGCAGTAGTTAAACAACAAGTTGTGAAGACATGACCAGACCAAAGGCAGGAGACACAACTTGCAGTCAGTGAACTCTTTATTGACTTCCAAATAGGGATGGCTGACGCGAAACAGACGTTCCGAAGCTTTGCGAGATCCCGAAGCAAAAATGATTCGAAACACTGATCCGAAGCGTGATTCAAAACACCCACAGTCACGTGACAAAGGCTAAATGAAGCTTCTAAGTGTTTCATCAGGTGGAGTGCTCCGCCGAATCAGGGTTTGATTGATAGGTCGGTCGGGAAGGATCGCGTGAGCAAAGTGCACACAGAATGCCTATTCTTAAAGTCTTGTGCTGTTTTATGAAGGCAAAAACCCATATAATGGTTTCGATTTAAGTTAATTGGCAAAATATAACGCTAGAGACAATGTTAGTTTCAGGGCCGTGCAGAGACCTCTGGAGGGGCAGGTGCTCAAAGTATAAAATGGGGCACATGGAAACAAGACTTTATAGGGCTGTGCTCAAAATATCAATACAGTAATATATATACAGCATTGATACAGCAGCAAATTAATTGATGCAGTTTTGAAAAAGAAACAGAACAGAAAAGACAAATTTAAAGTTTAAAATTTAAAAAAATTATTTATGTGCTCTATATATATAACTCTGGGATTAGAAACTGAAGCATCTTAAATTGTCCCAACCTGATGGCTTTTTCTTCTCTGTTATTCAGAATAATAAAGAACAGCTGTTATAGTGAACTGTGTAGGACAAAATCAACCTGGCCCATGTTTCGTGCAGTAGTTTTATTTAATGGAATATCAGCATCTGTGGCTATTTTCATGGCAAAAAGTGATTTACAAAAATACAAGAGTTACATTTTATACAATGAAAATAAAAACAAAGCAAACAGAAACAGCAATTAATACTTTACAAGATTTTTAACATTAATGTGATGCCTGTTCTGGTAAATTCTTACTCAAGTCATTAAGTGAGTTTGCTGCCTTTGCTGTTGATGTTGTTACTGCTGCTGATGATGATGATGATACTGCTGGAGTTGATCTGAGACTGTAGACATTAAAATAAACAGAGATATAGGGTATTGGCTGATTAAACCATTTTTATGTGACCATGACAAGATGTAAAGATTGCTGACAGTGTTTGGAACTGGCTCACTAGTCCACTGACCTGCTAAAGCTACAGATTCTGCCCAGGCTGCTATAGTATAATAATACAATAATAGTATATAATAGTAACGTTACTAGGGCAGATGTTCACAGGCTTCTGCACACAAAACATAAGATACTAACTGGTAAGCCTATGCTATAACTTACCAGAGTTGTGATAATCATTTTTATGTGAAAATATTTTTTTTAATAAATACTGTAATAATAATAATAGTTTAAAGTACAAATAATAGTTTTTAGTCAAATAACACCCCTCCACGCCCGTGAAACTTTTCTCCCTCAAACAGCAAGCTAACGTTACTTCTACAGCCTACACACAGCAATACAAACAATATCTCTCTGCATGCTCTCTTCACGTCGTTCTAGTAAAATAATAATAATAAGTAAACAAACATCAACATCACTTCGCTGAGAATAGAACACCACTTACCAGCAGCCGCAAGACTTGAAGATATCCTCTGGGAATGCGCGATTGCGCGTAGCCGCGCGAAATTATAAAATGCGCGTGCAGCGTGAGGAATCAGGTGAAAGGTCATCATGTGGGTCATTTTATTTACGGCTAAATTATTA